CGTTAGGGCCTCAACATAGCCTTTCGAAGGACACAAGTCACACCGTAACCCACGTTTTTGCACTTGTCAGGAAACACATGCCGAATGAATGAAGGAGACAGTGCCCGTGGGGTGTCTCTCGGGGCTGTGAGCCCGTGCGGCAGGGCCCTGCCAGGCCTGGTCCCCACTGTGGTTTCAGCACTGGGCCAGGGCCTGGCCAGAGAAGGTGCTTTGGAGAAGCTGACAGTGGAGGAGCAGGAAGATATGTCCCGCCTTTGGACAGATGCTAATTGTCAGTGCTCTGAAGTGCTCCGAAAGACCTTGGGGGGACAGGCTGGGCTGGGAGGGGGTTGGGAGGAGTAGCCAGAGAGCTGCCTCAGTCAGGCTGAACTTACGTCTTATAAGCAGGTGCAAGCAGTGATCTACTTCGTGGAATCTTCTAGTATGGGCAAGCCTGAGCATTTACATACCGGGATAAACATTATTGGGTTATAAATTACTTTCCTTCATTTCTCCTTTTAAAGAAGGTAGAACGTTATATTGGTAGTGTTGAAGCTATGTGACTAGGTAGGTTATATTGGACTTAGAATTTCCAGTCCTGAATATGAGGATCTCGGAAGTCAACACTCTCTCCTAACAAGTAAAAAGCTGAAGAAACTGAAAAAGCAACATGTCTTCTTAGATCCATTAGAGAGGTGAGGTCATAGGGCAAACCGCTGCCTCCATAGTTGGAGAGACAGACAAGCGAATACAGAGAATCACAACTTAGAGCAGGAGCTCCCTGGGGGACCAGCCCTCGGGTAGGAAAACCTAAACCTCTAACTGCCAAGTGCTGGAGGCTCGGTGTAGACAAGTCTGAGAGTCCAAAACTCCAGGGGCACCCACGGTCCAAATCTGGTCTGCTACCAGCATTTGTAAATATGGTTATCGGAACTCAGCCATTTATCCATTGACATGTTGTCTAAGGCTGCTTCCCAGCTCCAACAGTATAGTTGAAAAGGTATGACAGAAACTGTATGTCCTGCAGAGCCTAAAATAGTTACTCCAGCCCCGTGCAGAAAGGTTGCTATAGAAAGAGTGGAGATAGTGGCACAATTAGCAGACAGGGTAAATGTGCTGGGGACAGCAAGTAAAAGGAATGGTGGCAGGAAATGACCGGGAGATGTGGCCTCACCGCTAATCCAGTAAGGCCTTGTAGTGCATGGTAAAGACTGAATTTTATTCTTAGGTATGAGGATTGAAAAAGAGTAAAACAGCCTCTGGAATCTGGGAGCTGTGCTGGCACGCACAGATAGGACTTACGTTCTGTTGAACGTGAATCATTTCGCCAGACGTCCATATCAGACAAGGCCTCTCTGTGACCACGATAAACTGAGAAAAAAGCAAGGCCACTCTGTGATTGTGTCTCAACACAGGCAACATGACAGTTGTCAAAACCACACAAAGCTAAGCACCCCCCTCTCCTGGCCTCACTCTAGCCTGGCCTCACTCTAGCCTGCCCTCCCTGTAAATAAGATTATTGTTATATCCAACCATAAAATTATCCTTGCTTCTGACCGTACCAATCCTGGGCAAAGTCCCGCTTCCTTGGGCTCACCCCACAATCATTCCACCAAAGTCCACGTCCTCTGAGGAACTCTAACACCCTCTTACTGAGACGCTCCGCAGTTCCCCGGCGTGCATTCCTCTCCTTGCCACTTGCCATCACACCTGTGCTCCTGGTGGTTTTTGGCTGAGGGCATCAACAGGGTTTGTCCTAATTTGCTGCAAATGAAAGAAAAAACAAAATAACAGTAGCTTAAACAAGATCCAGCTTCCCCTCCCTCTCCCGTACCCCTCTCTCATCAACTAAGTCCGGAAGTAAAGGGTGGTTCCTCCGTCATCGGGTCCCCAGGCTCCGTCCACATTTGTGGCTCTGACGTCTGCCTCAGAGGTGATGGAACACTTCAAATATATACAGAAGTAACCAGTAGAGTATGCCGACCCGCCAGGCCTCAGTTCCCGGCCCGTCTTACTTCCAGCCCATCCACTTCCCACTTCCTCCATCTGGGTCGTTCGGATTGGATATTTTGAGGCAAATCCCAGATATCATGTAAATATTTAGGATATATCTCTAAAATATAAGGACTATTAGAAATCCCCCAATACCACTAGCACACCTAAAAAATTAATGATTCCTTCCCGTCATGCAATACCAGTGTTCACATTCACCCATCAGACTTGCCTCTAACGTGGGGGGCCACACGGGAGCCCACACACCTGATGTCTGGGTATGTACAGGTTGGACTGACGCTTCACTCGGGCAGTCCAGCCAGGGCCCCACAGCCCACTCCCTGAGGACTGCCCTTGAGACACATGCCTAAGGATGCCATGCTCTGCCCAACCCTCCCTGCCCAGCCTGAGCAGGGCACAAATCCATCGGGGCTGCACCGAACCCCATCCCAGGGTTCCAGAGAGGCCAGAGAGCAGTTATCAGGGACACTGTCCATCTAGCCGCCCATTTTGAGTATATGGGGTGGCCAGCTCCAAACCAAGTAGCCCCTCTGGTTCCCCAGGGCAGGGGTGGGGGTTCCCCCTGCCCAGCACCCAGTGTGCATGTGCTCTTCCTGCCTCTGTCTGTGTCCATCTCTGGCTCTCAGCCCCACATCTTCGGGTCATGGCGGTCAGGAGGGTTCTTTCCCCTGCTGGAACTCTGCTCAGTCAGTTACCAAACATTCAACGCCTTCCTGAGAGGTTGAGGAGGAAGCCCCTGTGCGTGTTTCTGCTGGGTGCTTGTCCAGAACAGACACCCGGCGTGGGAGGGCAGCGCCATGTAGAGCTGGTGTCTCTGAATCGCAGGAGAGGCCCCATGTTGCATCTGTTTGATAGGTGTGCCTCCTTTGTCTCAAAACTTTTTATATTGAAGAAGTGAGACATACAGTAAAGGTGGAAGAATTTTTCATTGGCTATACATATGCCCACCACCCAGACTCACTGCTAGGTCACGTTTCACTGGATTTGTTAACGTCTCTCTTCCCTGCCCTGTCCTTGTGTACAAATGTCTTCTTTGCTGAGTCTTTGAAAGCAAGTTGCAGACATCCTGACCCTTCACCCCTGGGAACTCCCAAATGTGCCTCCTAAGAATGCCACCCCCTTATGTAACCACCCCATGTTATCACACCAAAGAAAGAGGCCCCTGCTTCAGTCTTGTCATCTGATACACAGGCCCTGTTCTGGCCGGTCCAGTTGACCCACAGGTATCTTTTGTGAACTTTTGCTGCTCTTGTCATCACCAATCCAGAAGCCAGTGAAGGGTCACACATAGTGTGTCTCTTTAGCCTCCTTTAGTCTAGAACAGCCCCCGCTGGCCCCCAAACACTCACTTCTTTTTCAGGGCTATGTTCTGACCCCCTTGGAGGAGAGGGGGAAGGAAGGAAGATTGGAAGGCAAAGCCTCAGACTGCAGAGCGTTTCTCAGAAGGTTCCAGCAAGGCCAGTGGGTGAGAGCGCACTATCCTTGAGAGCTCCGTGTCCCCCTGTTCACTGCCCTGCAGGCCCCGGCTGGAGCAGCCCGTGGAAGTTCGGCCTTTGCTAACGGCGGGATGGATCTCCCAGCACAGCTGTCGCCTCAGTCAGGCTCCTGGCAGTTAGAGAAATGCATTCCCATGGCCTCCACAAGAGCACTGCCTTTTTGGGGGGGTGGGGGGGGAGAGAGGTTTAAACCTTGGCAGCTTAAAAAGCAAATTAATTGAAATATATAATTCAATATATTGAAGTATAATCAAGCATTAAAGTGTACTGTTCACCAGTGCTAGTATCTTCACACTGTGCGATCATCTCCGCAATCTAATTCGTGAGGAAGGTAGCCCAACGGCATTAGCATCACGCCGCGTTCCCACCCAGCCCCCCACCTGCCCCAGGCGACTGCTGATCTGCTCTGTCTCTCTGGGTTTGCCTATGCCATAGAAACAGTCCAATAATTTGTGGTCTTCCGTGACTGGTGTCTTTTACTTAGCATGATGTTTGCAAGGTTCATCCATGTCGTAGCATGTCAGGACTTCATTCCCTTTCACTGCTGAATGATTTTTCCCTCATATGGATTCACCACATTTTGTTTGTCAACTGATGCCCATCAATTGATGGACATTGAGGTGGTTTCCACTTTTTGGCTATTAGGCGTAATGCTGCTATAAACACTCATGTACAAGTTACCGTGTAGACATGTTTTAATTTCTCTTGGGTATATACCTAGGAGCAGAACTACTGGGTCATATGACAACTCTGCGTGTAACATTTTGAGGAAGTCCTAATTGTGTTCCACAGTAGCGGCACCATATTACATTCCCAGAAGCAATATCCAGGGTTCCAATTTCTCAGCATCCTCCAAACACTTGTAATTACCTGTCTTACTTGTTTTTGTTTTTGTTTCTGGGTACCCAGAATTATTGGATGTTGAATGTACCCTCTAGCCGTTGGTGCCAAAGCAAGAAAACAGCATTTTTCTGTTTTTGGTTTTTGGGGTTTTTTCGTTTTGTTTTTTTGCTGTGCAATTTAGTTTTGCATTTTGATCTTAAATCTAGTAATCTGGCTGAGCTTTAGTTAATTTGTATATTTGTTTTAAATTATTTTGTGTAGTCAACCATATCCCTTGGAAATAGTGATGGTATTATTTCTTTTGGGTCTTATACACCTGGTTTATTTTTCTTGTCACTCTGGCTGGGACTTTCAATACAGTGTTGAAAGAAAGTGGTGATAGGAAACTTCTTTGAGTTTTGTTCCTTAAAGGGAATTCATTTTGCCATTTAATTAAGTTTCTAGTTGCTAAACTTCATATATCCGTGGAACACTTGTAACTTTCTCATTTGTTACAGCCATCCTGGTGGGTGTGAAGTGGTATCTTAATGTGGCATTTCTCTAATGACTAACGATGTTAAGCACCTTTTCATGAGCTTATTGGGCATTTATATATTTTCTTTGGAGAAATTCAGATTTATGATTTGCAGATATTTTCTCCTATACTATGGCTTGTCTTTCACTTTCTTATGGTATCCTTTGAAGCACAAAAATTTCTGAATTTGGTGAAGTCCAATTTATCTGTTTTTTTCTTTTGTTGGCTTATGCTTTTGGTGTTTTATCTAAGAAACTGTATTCCAACTCAAGAACACAAAGTTTTACTCCTTTTTTCTTCTAGGAGTTTTGTAGTTTTAGCTCTTATGTTTAGATTTATGATCTACTTTGAGTTAATTTTTATGTGTGGTGTGAGGTAGGGGGTCCAAATTCTTTTTTTTTTTTTTATGTGGAAATTGAATTGTCCCTGCACCATTTGTTGAAAAAAACTGTTCTTTCCTCTCGACACCTTTGTCAGATAGCAATTAACCATTAAAGTGAGAGTTTATTTTTGGACTCTCAATTCTATCCCATTGATTTATGTCTCTCCTTATGTCAGTACTACACTTTCTTGGTTCCTTTAGCTTTTTAGGGCCTTGGACATTTTCCCCCCTTGTACTTTTTTTGTTGAAGAAACAGAGTCATTTGTTCCATCAGACTGAATTTGTTGATTGCATCTCTGTGGTGTCATTTAACATATTCTCTGTCCCTTGTATTTTAGTAACCCAGAGGCATGATCTGATTTAGATTTGATTTTAACAGAAGAATAATTTGCAGGCGGTGTGCGTTTCCAGGGTCAGAGCATGCTGTGGGGTTGACCCTTCCGGTGATGCTAGGGGCCATCCATGACCTTCACCTGGATCATTTTTTTTCATTAGAGGGTGGGGAGGGGGTCACAGGGTGGTTTGGAGGACTGAGGGGTAATCATGCAATGAAGTAGCTGTTGCCGTGCCTGGCACATAGTGACCTCTCAATAAATATTAGCCCTTATTGTTGTTGTTACTAGAGCTGTGTGTGTGGGACCCAAATCCTGGGCTTGGAGCCATTCTCTGGCCAGGGCTTTCTTTTCCCTTCTTCTCTGCCCCTGGAGGAGAAATCTGCAGTGCCCCAAGGCTCTGAGAGGCATGTTCAGGAATGCAGCAGCCATCTATTTGCACCTGGTGGGGCCCCTCCTGGGAAAGAAGGCTGAAGCTTCACTCATCCGGTCCTTGCACCAGACTGTAAGTGCTCTAACCCCATTAGCACTGCCTTCTGCATGACCTGGGGTGCCTAGGATCTGTGTCCTGGCATCAAAGCTGTGCATGAGCCTCCTCTTTTAGGAAGCCTTCCCTGGCTGCAGCCTGAAAGTGGACCCCTCCCTTGCCCTCACCTCTTACCTAGAACTTGTAGCTCTGCTTCTGAATGGTCTGCTTGGTGCTACTACCTGCCTATCATCCTTTGTGCCCAGTCCAGTGTTAGGTACACAGTAGGTGCTCAGTAAATGTTGGCTGGATGAATACATTGTGCATAAGCCCAAGAATAGTCACTGCTTCCTCGCTTATCCAAGTACTGTGTGACTTACTTGAAGGTGATTCCTTTGAGCACCCCAAGTTTCTGGGGTCCCCCATTATTATCTCTTTCCTAAACTCATTCAACTCCTTTGTTCTCTCTCTGTGCCCCTGTACCCCTCTTCTCATTCCGTCTCCACAATCCTCTTCGCACTTCCCTCCGACTTCTACCCTCTTCCTCCTCCCAACCCCAACTCATTTTTACTTTATTATTTTTTTTAATATGGTGCATCCTCACTTCAAAAATAATTCCTTGTATCATCAAATCCATGGTGCCGTCAATTGTAAGATGTATTTATCTTTTATGGACAATAAAAGTAAGGGGGGAAAATGCCAAATAAACTCATGCTATAGATTGTAAGACACACCCAAATTCAGGGAAAGTACAATGCGAAAAAGGCACATGTCCAGATCAATCAAATGTGGTATGATCTCTGTACACAAAACTTGAAAACAGAGAAGCACGTACGTGAATTTAATCACCTGTAATTCCACCACTCAGAGAACCTTTGTTAACATTTTGATATATTTCCTTCCAAACTTTTTTTTTATTTATATATGGCCATAGGAAAAAAATGTATGTTTATACAAATGTGTGTTAGGGTATATTTTTTACAAAACACAATCATACTATACATACTTTTTGTAGCCTTTTTACTGATACAGTATATCATATGGATAAATATTCTTCTGAAATGTCATTTTCTCGTCAGTAAAGTGGGCCCAGCCACATTGTTCTGAGAAGTAAACAGAAGAGCTTAGCAAGACCTCTGTAGATGGAAGCTGCCCCTGCGATTGTTGCTATGACCTTTCCCTGCCCCTTTCTCCTGCTCCTCCTCAGCCCCCAGCCCCTCCAGGGCCAAACCAACCTGGCTGAAGCTGGTCTGTATCTCAGGACTTGTGCCTGGGCTGGCAAGTGGGAAGGGAGGCTGGTGGAATGGGGAGGAGCCAGGTGCAGGAACAGGTTGGGGACACAGGCTGGGACTCACCCTGCTATCTGGGGGCGCTGATCTCCACCTCCTCCTGGGAATGGATGGGGTGGGATTGTGGTTAGAAAATAGCTGCCTCCCAAGCCAGGTGCAGACTGCTGTACCTCCAAAACGTTGACCTTTCCACTTGCTCTCTCTCCAGCTCACCATGGCCAAACAGCTGCAGGCTCGAAGGCTGGACAGGATCGAGTACAACCCTTGGTGAGCCAGGGACTGAGATGCATGTGGGTGCCCCCTTGGGCATGGGGTCAGGGCAGGGCTGGTGGTCCCTGCGTTTGGAGTAACTCAGTGGCACCCAGAACGGCTGCAAGATTCAGACTGTGAGACTTGCAGCCACAGCCCCAGAGAAGTAAGATCCGAAGCAGCAGGTTTGGGTTTGAATCTCAGCTTCATCCTGCTTGGCTGTGGCACTGGGGCTGGTGACACACCTGGTGTGAGCCTTGGCTCCCCCGCTGCAAAATGGAGATAATTAAACCCACCTTGCAGGGCCTCGGGAAGACACAGTGAAACACTGCACGGTAGCAATGGCCGCCACTCAGGCTCCGGGCTAAGGGCTTTCCAGGGAGTATTTTATTTCACACTTTGTACAGATAAAAATAAGCTGGTAAGATAGAGGTGGCTCCTCACCAGACATCTGCTGAGGTTAATGTTGTTTCTTTATTGACTTGCTCTAAATATGAAAGTAGTAGTATGTACCCATTGTCGCTCACACGGCCTCATAAGATGTGTGAGAGGGATTTAAGGACCTTCCTGTTCTTCCCTCATCTTTGGCCAAAGGCATACAGACACCCCTGTACTTTAAAAAAAAAAATTGTTAGCTGTTGTTTGTACAAAACAAGGGGCTGTTTTTCCCCCTCAGACTCTCCTTATGTTCAGCACTTTGTGTCTTGTGAAGATTGTTCACCTCCATCTTCCTCAATGCTCGTGGTGCTTAACAGGGAAGCCAGACCCACAAGCCCCCTGGAGTCTGGCTGTCCTCTAGGTTGGGCCTCCAGGTCCTGACCCTCAGGCTGGTACCCTCTGTCCTCTAGGCAAGGGAGGCTAGGCAGCCTTGTGGCCTGTTTTGCAGAGAAGGTAAAGTCCAGCTCAGCAGCGGAGATGACAAGGAGGCAGGTTGGATGATGCAAAAGACTCTTTCCTGACTCACGGGAAATCCAACATGCCCGTTGTACCAACGAGAAGACTGAGGCCAGGGAGGCTAAATCTCCTGCAACTGCAGGGCAGAGCAGAGCGGGCCTGGAAGGATGCCCAGGACAGGAGGGAGTGCCCGGAGGAATGAGGGCCATGAACGTCAGGGCGAAAGAAGGCCCCAGGTTCCTGCTGACCCCGGAGTGGTGGCTTAAAGAGCAGGATCCTGTAGGCCCGACCTGGGGGCCAGTGAGGCTCTCGAGGGCGTTTGAGCCTGGCTCCCTTGTTCCAGTTACCAAGGAACATCCACCACCTGGTTGGGCACCTCAACTCTGCCATTAGCTGCTTTGTGACTTTGGGCAGGTTACTGGTCTCTCTGAGCCTCAGGAATTGTGTGTCTTCAGAGGCACTATGGACCTCTGAGGAGAAAATCACAGATCTTTAAACATGATAGTTATTGTGATGCAAATTCAACTCAGCCAGGCCTAACTTCTTTGCCCAGCTCCCCCGCACCCCCAGCCCGGAACCACGTACCCCTCTCCTCATGCAGCCTCTCAGCCTCCCTCTCAGTTGCCCTGAAGAGATGGCCACCAGTCAGGGCCGGAGGAAAGGTTGTTGAGGGCCAGGGGTGGCAGATGGCAGGGCTGATAGGGCCCTCTTCTGTCCAGGGCGATGGTCAAGAGCATAAGCCTTGCTTCAGACAGATGCGGAGCCAAAGCCTGGGGGCTGTGTTCTAACCGGGAGCCCCACCATCTCCATCCCTTTGTGACTCCGGAGTAGGACCTGCCTCGCACACATGGGGAAGGTTATGTGGGCAGGCGCTGCCAAGTGTGGTGTCAACAAATGCCCTAGTGGGTCAGGAAACCCACTTTGGGGGGTCTCAGCCAACATTTCTGAAAAATAGAGTGGCCTGGGCTAGGAAATAGTAGAGCAGCAGGTCACGCCAGAAAGAAAACGTTGATTCCATGTCTATGCTCTACCGGCTTTGTGATGGTTTATTATGAGTCATGGTCGAAAAGTTTGTCAGTGTGAAAGCCTCTGGCTGAGATGCGCAGTTGGCACAGGGTCCGGCCCATGTAATCTCAAAGCATGACACCAGTCAAGACCTCACCCAGCTCTTCAAGCCAGGGCTCAGCTAGTTGTCCAGTTTTTCTTACATGAGCCCAGTGCCCCCTGCCTTGGATGCAGGTGGGTGTCCAGGTCAGCGTGGAGGCATGGGTTGGTGCCGACATGCCATTTGTTGCTCAGGGTGAAGTTCATCAAACTGTCCAGTGAGTATGATGTCGTAAACTTGGGCCAAGGCTTCCCCGACTTCCCGCCCCCAGACTTCGCTGTGGAAGCGTTTCAGCATGCCGTCAGCAGGGACTTCATGCTCAACCAGTACACCAAGGCATTTGTGAGTCTCTAGCCCTTGTGGGACCCCGGACACAGGCCTCTAAGGGAGCCCTGGGGGAAGAAGGGGCACATGGGGCAGGGTTCCTGGAGCAGAGCCCGGGGATTCGGGCTGGCCCTAGTCGAGTGTTCACCAGGTCTTCCTCTATTCCAGGCCCTGGGGCAGCTCATGGCCTGCTGAAGGGCAGACAAAAACCCCAAACAAAGGCATGACAATACGCTGTGATGGAGGAGGTTGGGGAGCAGGACGAAGGGAATCAAATCTGGGGAGATCCAGAAAGGCTTCCTGGAGGAAGTGACACTAACTGAGGCCTGAAACAGAAGCTAGTGATTGATTGACTCTAAATCCAAATTTCTTTCTATAAAGGGTCACATAGTAAATATTTGCCAGCTCTTAGAGTAGAACAGTGGTTCTTAAACTTTGATATGCATCAGAATTCCCTGGAGGGAAGTTCCCTCCAAGTCTCCCACCCAGAGAGAACCACTGCCAACGGTTTGCTACTTTGCTGAGAGTGTTTAGACTTTTAAACTTTCACCTTTTAAAAATGTTTATACACACACACACAACATACACCTACATGTGCGATTTGTGGGAGTTTTTTAAAGACAAATGGACTCATACTACACATAATGTTCTGCAACTTACTTATTTCACTAAACAGCATGTCATAGACATCTTTCCATGTCAGAATAGCCTTGGGGTTTTTTAATGGCTGCATAATATTCCATCACCTAGATTTGCAATGATTTATTTAACCAGCCCTGATGCACTGGTTTGGACATGTCACTATTATAAGCAATGAATAAGCCATAGTGACTGTGTCTGTGTGTACATCTTTGTACACATATGAGTTGTTTCTCTCAGATAAAACCCTACGAGTAAAACTAGAGAATCAAAGGGTGTAAACATTCAAACATATGATGGATATTGTCAAATTGCTCTCCAGTAAGAAAAGTCTGTTCACATTCCCACCAACAGACTGGTCCAGAGCTGGCAAGAAAGGACCCATTTGTCTCACACTCTTACAAACTGAGCACTATCAATTTTTTAAAATACTGGTTAATACTGATACTATATTCTTATATAGCAGTATTACAATGTTGCTTTTATTTGCTTTTCTTCAATTATTATTATTTTCATATGTGCATTGACATTGGCACTTTTTGTTCATAACCTACCTCATTTTGTTACTTGGGTGCATATCTTTATCTTGTTGCTTTATAAGAGCTCTTTATATATTAAATATCTTAACCTCTTTTTTATTTTTTTATTAAATCATCATTTAAACTCTTTTTTTTATGTTGGAATGTTTTTCTCTTTGGCTTTTAACTTTGCTTATGGTATATTTTGCTGTACAGAAATTTTTAATTTTTATGTGGTCAAATCTGGTTTAGTGAATTATTTAAGTTCCAGACCTTAGGTTTCAGTGAGTTGGCTTAACCTTGAGTGCTTTTTAAATGTCCTCAAAAAATAAGCATACAGATCCAACCTTCCTCTCAAAGTGGGGTGCTTCCAAAGCTGGAACATAAGTCCTGTTCTTGTACCTCAACTGTACATGACCTTGGGCAAGTCATTTTCTTTCTGCTGAGTCTCTACTTTTCCACCTGTCAAATGGTGGGGATCAAATAATACCTCTCTTGCAAGCTGCTGGGGGGAGCAGATGGTATGAATGTGCTGCTTAAACGTAAGAAAGGTATTTAAAATGTGGAGTTGCTGCTACTTGAGGCACTGCATTGGACTGTGGTCCGTGAAGACACGCATTCTTGTCTGGTTCTCCACCAAATCCCAGCCCTGGGTGCTGGATCTGGCACAAAATAGCCTTGATGGCAAGTGCTGGCAGATGAAATGAAAGAACTCATCCTGCAGGAGCTGACTTTTGCCCTAGATCTGCTGCTGGAAGGTCCTAGAATTGCCTGGATGCATCTGTGTAGGAGGGTGGACCTGGGTTAAGCCAGGCACCTGACCCTTGTTGTCCTGGCAGGGCTACCCACCTCTGACGAAGATCCTGGCAAATTTCTTTGGAAAGCTGCTGGGACAAGAGATAGACCCGCTTAAGAATGTGCTGGTGACCGTGGGTGCCTACGGGGCGCTGTTCACAGCCTTCCAGGCCCTAGTGGATGAAGGGGATGAGGTGAGGGGCAAGGCTTGGGCTGGGTGGGGGTGAGGGGGCCGAGCAGTACTGACCCCAGCTAATCTGACCCCTGTACCAGGTCATCATCATCGAGCCCTTTTTTGACTGTTATGAGCCCATGACCTTGATGGCAGGGGGTCGCCCTGTGTTTGTGTCCCTGAAGCCGGTGAGGATGCTGGGTGGCGCATGGGTGGGCAGAGGGGTCCAAGGAGTGTGTTGTGTTGGAACCTGGGAAGTGGGAAAGAAGGAAAGCAGTGAAGGAGGATGGGGGAAGGTTGTCCCAAGCCCCAGAGGACTTAGGGTGCAGACAGATGAGATGGCAGGGAGAGGCCAAATCCCTAGAGCTGGATGTTGGGTAAGTATGGCCACATCCCCCCACCAATTCTTGCAGAGCCCCACCCAGGACGGGGAACTGGATTCCAGCAGCAACTGGCAGCTGGACCCCACGGAGCTGGCCAGCAAGTTCACGTCTCGCACCAAAGCCTTCATCCTCAACACACCCAATAACCCCCTTGGGAAGGTACCTGAGAGACCTCCCCCCAGGAGCCCTCCAGACTGGGTTCACCTCCACACTTGGTTGCCGCCTGCCATCTTGGGCCTCAGTTTCTCCATCTGTGAGTGGGAGGGCTACCTGTGCTGAGCTCTGAGGACCAAGGTGCAGAGGTCCTAGAGTCAGGCACAGGAATCCCCAGTCTGGGCTGGGGTGACAGAGTGGGCTAGGTGCCTCCACCGCTCCCCATGACCCTGGGACTGGGACTTCCCACTTGGAGTGTTTGCTTATCTGTAAAATGGGAGCACGACAGAACCGATGTAAAGGAAAACCCAGTCTTCCCCCTGTGTTCCTTTACTCACACTGTCACCACATTCAAAGCACTTCTAACACCAGGTATGTGTTGGGGTGAAGGGTTCCCCACATGAAACAATTGTGCAACACCCGTTACGTATCCTATAATTTAAGTCAGTTGAATTAGATTCTGACCCTGTCTACCCAGAAATAGCATCAGACCCCACAAGTTAGGGGCACAATCTCACAGGCTGTCCACCACTTCAGATGCCAGTTGCAAGTCCAGGTTGTCACTTGTGCCTCTGACTAGTCAGCTATCAACCTGAGGTTCTGGTGACCCTCTCCGGTTCTATTAATTTGTTAGAGCATCTTACAGAATTGGGTCAAACCGACTTAGGTTTACCAGTTTATGAAAGGATTTGATAAAGGATATAGATGAACACCCAGATACAGAGATACACAGGGCAAGGCCCCAAACTCAAGAGCCTCTGTCCTTGTGGAGTTGGGGTGTGTCACCCTCCTGGCAGCCTGGGAGCCTTCCTGTAGGAAGAGTGGGAGGGTGGGGCTGCAGATCCTAAGCTGCTGCTGACCATGGCTTGGTCTCTGGTGACCAGCTCCCATCCTGGAGCCTTCCAGGAGCCCAACTAGAGTAGTCTCATTAGAATGAAAGATGCTTCTAGCTCACTATCACTTAGAAACTTGCAAGGGTTTGGGGGGTTCGGTGCCAGGACCTGGGGACAGGGACCAATATATGTATAATTTCTATCACCTTACCACCAACCTCAGAGGGTCAGTGTGGCAGGTATTCGATAGAACGGGGGAGAAAAGCCCTTGGCACCTGGCAGGGCGGCATCCTCTCATCTCTCTGAGCAGGCCTTCCTGTTTGGGGCGGCCCCCACAGGTGTTCTCCAGGGAAGAACTGGAGCTGGTGGCCAGCCTGTGCCAGCAGCATGACGTGGTGTGCATCTCCGATGAGGTCTACCAGTGGCTGGTCTATGATGGGGACCAGCACATCAGCATAGGTGAGCCAGGCCAGCTGGGGGCCCCATCCCCCAGAATGTTGGTGATGGGGCCTTGAGCCCAATCCAGGAGTCAGCACAGCCCTGGTGATGAGGGTCAGAGGTCTGGAGCCACACAGGTTGTGTGACCTGAGGCAGTGACTCGGCCTCTGTGAGAACGGGGCACGCTGGCCCTGCCTTCCAGGGTTGATCTGTAGATAGCTTAGCACACAGGAGAATCCACAGTGTTGAGAGCCTACGTGCCCACTGGGGACAGCTACCACCCTCCCCTGCCCGCTCGCCTCCATCTCAGCAGCTGCTCTCTTTGGCCTTGGGCAGCCAGCCTCCCAGGCATGTGGGAACGCACCCTGACCATTGGCAGCGCTGGCAAGACCTTTAGTGCCACCGGCTGGAAGGTGAGTTGAGAGTTGAGGAGGGTGGGAGTGACCCCTCCACACACACACAACATGAACTTTGGCAGGCCAGGCTGGCCTTGGAATTAAGAAGGGATTTGGCCTCTCCCTGCCATCTCATCTGTCTGCACCCTAAGTCCTCTGGGCCTTGGGACAACCCTCTCCCATCCTCCTTCACCCCCTACCTGTGTTCCTGGTCCAGGTGGGCTGGGTCCTGGGTCCAGACAGTATCATGAAACACCCTAAGTCCTCTGGGGCTTGGGACAACCCTCTCCCATCCTCCTTCACCCCCTACCTGTGTTCCTGGTCCAGGTGGGCTGGGTCCTGGGTCCGGACAGTATCATGAAGCACCTGCGCACCGTGCACCAGAACTCTGTCTTTCACTGTCCCACGCAAGCCCAGGTGAGACAGAGGAACCCACCTTGTGGGGAGAGGGGAGGGTCAACAAACAAGTGCAGGTAACGCCTGACCCCTTCGTCCGTCGCCCTCCCCAGGCTGCAGTAGCTGAGAGCTTTGAGCGGGAGCAGCTGCACTTCAGCCAGCCCAGCAGCTACTTCGTGCAGCTCCCACAGGCCATGCAGCGCAACCGTGACCGCATGATCCGCAGCCTACAGTCTGTGGGCCTGAGGCCCGTGATCCCCCAGGGCAGCTACTTCCTTATCACAGACATCTCGGACTTCAGTGCGTAGGAATGGCCAGGCTGGACAGGGTGAAGGGGGCTGGAGGCCTCCCAGGGCTCAGCATGGTCTCTGTCCCCAGAGAGCAAGATGCCTGACTTGCCTGGTGCTGTGGATGAGCCCTATGACAGCTGCTTCGTCACGTGGATGATCAAGAACAAGGTGGGCGGAGGCTCTGCCAGGACTGAGAGTAAGGTTTTGCACTGCTCAGGTTGTGCACTGCTCAAGGGTGCCTGGCCAAGGGACTGACGGGTCAGAATCCAGATCAGCCTCTACTGTGACCCCTGGCACAGGTTGTATTATCCTCTTCAAGGCATGGGGAGCCTGTTGTAGATTTTCACAAAGATGCCGTGTGGGCTGGCAGGAATTGCTGTCCTTTCAGGGCCTCGGTCTTCCTATCTGTACAGTGAAGAACTGGCTCATTAACTCGGGTTCACCCAGCTCAGAGCCGTGATTCTGTTCACGGCTTCTCTGGCCCTGCCCTGTCTGCCACATGACTGGCCCCTCTCTTGGCCTGCATCTCCCCTCCGTACACAAGGAGGGACGTGGAATGATGCTCTGGGATTCTTTTCCTCTGCCCTTGGCACAACACCGGGAGGTACTGCCTAAAGCCAGTTTTCCTTCCCCCACTGCATCATGGGAACCTCTCTGCTCCCACCACACCCCCATGCACTTCCCCACCCCAGGGTCCACACATGCCAGACGCTGGGGTTGTGTTGAAGTGTGGGCCCCTTCCTCCCCAGGGCTTGGCGGCCATCCCAGTCTCCATCTTCTACAGCGTGCCTCATCAGAAGCACTTTGACCACTATATCCGCTTCTGTTTTGTGAAGGTAAAGGGCAGGGTGGGGGCAGGGAAGGCCTCCCTGAGCTGGGGGCGTGGGGAGAGAGGATAGGACCGATCTATGTTGGTGCAGGATGAATGCACACTCCAGGCCATGGATGAGAGCCTGCAAAAGTGGAAGGATGAACTGAGGCCCTGACATCGTCCCCTCAGCCCTGCTGTGCTGGGTCCCTTTGCGCTCTGCAGGGCTGTCTTTGTCCTGGTTTCAGCCATTCCCATCGTGGAGGTAGATGATACGCAGGAAGGTCTTCAGGGAAGAGCCCTCCGTCTTGGTCTTGGGGAACTCAGGGGCATCTCCCCATGGTGCCTGTGTTCCTGTCATGGAGATGAAGGAGCCCAGATCCCCAGGTGGGGTCTTAGGGTCTTGAGGCCCTTAGGCCTCCCCAGACTTGCTGGGACTCAACGGGCAGAGTTGGACAGTGTGCTGGCCTTGAGTCCTAGCCCTGGCCCCAGGGCTCTTTCCCTGTCTAATCCTGACCTTGGGAAGTTGCTATAGGCTTGAACCCTCAAGCCAGTCCTTTCTGCCCTAATAAAGTTTTAAGTGTAAGTTACTCAAGCCCTTATTGACTCTTCTCCCTGCTTCACATGCTGGTGCTCATCACGGAGGGTGACCCAGTCAGTATGGAAGGCACCTCAGTGGACCTCAGATCACAGCTGCTCTTTGTACAAATGTGTTCTGTGAAATAAAACCGAGGCCCAGAGAAGGGTGGGAACTTGCGACTTGTCTGAAGTCACACAGTTAATGGTCAAACCAGGCCTTGAACCCAGGGCTCTGACGGTATGTTACTGGTGCAGGGTGGGGTGTGGGGTGTGTGTGTGTGTAGGTGTACAGGAGGTGGGGGCCTCGGTTGAGTGTGTGACAGGGAATACATGGACAGTTCCATCCTACAAGGGTCTGAGGGCGGGCCAGGGACTATAAAGCTAGCCAAGGGGAAGGAAATAGCTAATGTTTACTGTGCACTCCTGTGTGCCAGGCACTTGGATGCCCATTATCTCATTAAACAACCCTCAAGACAGGAGTGACCACTTTGGAGGTGAGGTAACTTGTCCAAGGCCACCCAGCTAGCAAAGGCCGAAGTGGGGATTTGATTCTGGGGTGAGTGTCCCACTGGAAAGCCATGGCGGCTCTTAAATTCATTTGGAAGGTGATGTTGGGGACTTGTCTTCAAGTTTCATTCGCATAACAAACTCGTAGGTTTTTGCTCATATCGTATATTTAATTGGAGGAGGTGATAGAAACGTGTAATAAAATGTATTTGATCCTTGTCCCTGATTCTTGGCAGGGACCTCCTAAAACCCTTGCAGTTAGGGTCTTTTGTTATTTATAACAAGCCCCTTTGACCACATGATTAAAGGGTCAGGACTTTCAGCCCCTACCCCAGGGCCCCAGGGAGGGGAAAGGGACAAGACACTGAGTTCAGCCACATGGCCAAAGATTTCATGAATCGTGCATAGGTAATAAAACCCCACATAAAACCCTGAATCCGTGAGGCTTAAGGAGCTTCTGGGTTGGTGAACACGCAGATATGCTGGCAGGCAGGGTGCAGCCGGAGAGGGCATGGAAGCGCCGCACCGCCCCCCACAGGACCTTCCTCTCCGTACCTCTTCCACTTCGCCGTTCCGAGTTGTATCCTCTATGATAAAGCTGCAGTTGCAAGGATAGCGCTTTCCTGAGTGTTAGGAATTGTTGCATTGAATTATTGAACCTGAGGGGGGTGGCAGAAATGCTCGCATTTGTAGTCAGCCAGCAGAAGTATGGGTAACCTGGGACTCCACCTGCTGCTGACTGTGAAGTGGGGGACAATCTTAGGAGACCAAAACGTTAACCTATGAGTCTGCACCAACTCCAAGTAGTGATTGTCAGGACTGAAGTGTAGGACACCCACTTGGTGTCAGAGAAGTGCTGTTGGAACATATTTTGTGCTGTGACATAGGGGCACTTCCTCCCCTTCCAAACCATGAATTGGTACCGCTCCCAGTGCTCCAAAATCAAGATCATGAAACAGACTTGGTACCAGCTCAGATGCTCAGTCTGGGAGCCCCTTTCGTACTACACCTATCCCCATGGTAAGAAAGTCCTCCATGGGGTAAACCCACAGATTTCTTGGGTTAGAACCACCCTGATCCAAGGTTACATGTCTCAAGCGCATCCAGAATCTGCCCGTAATTCAAATCTGTGACTCTACAGAGGCTCCGGATCTTGGACTGAGTATCTTCAGCCAGCCTGAGGTGGTAGATCTTCCCTTAAATGCATAATGACTTTGCCTTCTCATTCAGAATGGGGAGGGAGTGATGGTGAAATAAACACAACCCCTGTAGTGTTAACACATATATTGAATTTAGAAAATAATCTCTCCTCTACTAGGCTGTGAGCTCCAGATTGGTGTCTGCTTTTGCTTACCATTGTGTCCCTAGTTCTGGTAGCAAAGAGTTCCTGCCTCAGAACAGGCCAAAAATAAATATTTGTTGATTGAATGAATATTGACTCAAGCTTATTAGCTGAAAAAAGAATTCATTCATTGCTGGCAGGAATGCAAAATAGCCTAGCCACTTTGGAAGAAAATTTGGCAGTTTCTTACAAAGCTTAACAATCTTACTATAGGATCTGACAGTCAGGCTCCTAGCTATTTACCCAAATGAGTTGAAAATTCATGTCCACAACAAAAATCTGCATGTGAATGTTTTAGAAGCTTTATTTATAATTGTCAAAAACTGGAAGCAACCAAATGGTTTCTTCGGAAGGTGAATGGATAAATAAATGGTGGCATATCCATGCATCAGAAGTATACAGCAATAAAAATAAATTAGCTATAGAACCAGGAGAAGACATGAAGGAAACAAAATGCATATTGTTTAATGAAAGAAGAGAGTGTGAAAAGGCTACGTAACTATCTGAGTCCAACTATATGACATTCCAGAAAAGGCAAAACTCTAGAGACAGTAAAAAAAAATCAGTGGTTGTTAGGCTGGGAGAGGGTAGGCAGACCAGAGAGGATTTTTAGGGCACTACAACTATTCTGTATGATACTACCGTGGTGGATACATGTCATTGTACATTTGTCAAAACTGGTAGCATGTACAAAAAGAGTGAACCTAATGTAAGCTATGGACTTTAGTTAATGATAATGCACTAATATTGGTTCAATAAGTACAACGAATGTACATGCCAAGGCAAAACATTAACAATAGGGGATCCTGAGTCAGGTAAAAGGGATTATATGAGAGCTCTCTGCACTGTCTTCTCAAATTTTGGTAAGCCTAAATCTGCTCTAAAAAAGTGTTCATTGAAAGGGAATAAACGAACCTATAAAAGAAGTGAAATAAATTACTTCCAAGTCATTTCCATCTCTGGGCCTCAGGGTCCCCATATACAAAACCAAGCTGAGGTTTGACTGTCGCGCTCGTCCGGAGCTGGAGGGCGGCCCCTAAGCTGTAGGACGGTCCAGGAAAGCACCCGACTAGCTGCCCTTGGCACCCCGGGTGGGCGACTAACGGATCCACCGCCGCCCTGAGCCTAGGCCACGCCCCCGAGCTCCACTGGCCACCCGATTGGGTGGCTCGCAGGAGGTGCGGCCGGAAGGGGTGAGTCTGATTGGCAGGGCGGAGCCAACGGCGTGCGCCGAACATGGCGGAGCGTGCGAGGAAGCGGCCTTGCGGCCCGGTAGGTGGCCGGAGGTGGGACCGTAGGGCAGGACGGGGTGCTGGGGCCCATGGCGGCTCCCGCTCGCAGCTGCTCGCTGACCCGAGGCTAGCAGCCCCAAGGTGCCGCGTGCTCGTGCCGCGTGCACCGCTGCCTGCATGCGAACCGGAAGTGGGAGCCGCGGTACGAGCCAGGGCCCGGAAAGCGACAGGTAACCCAGGGGCTGCGCCGCCCGGGCCCGGACCCGGAGGAGGTGGGGCCGTGCCCCCAGTGCCGCGCCCTTCCGTGGCGTATCTCCTCTGCTCCCCAGGGCGAGTGGGCGGGTCCGGTCCCAGTGAGCCTGTTTCATTTTTCTCTCCAGTGGGACCTCATTCAACAATTTATTGAGGGCTTACGGGGTGACAGGCCCAGTCACTGGCACTGGCGCGCTCTGGGGCAGCACGCTGCTGGGGGGGTCCCTCGTTTCCTCACCCGCCGCATTTGGGATTGGATGGTAACTGTGGAGCGGCAGGTGGGAACCCTTCCCGGGTGTGACCATTCATTCCCACACCTATACCTCTTCCCAATCCGTCTGCAGGGTGAACACGGCCAAAGGGTGGAGTGGCGAAAATGGAAGCAACAGAGTAAGTGAGGGGCTGTGGGTGGGGTGGGGGGAGTGCCTGTGCATACCCCAGTTCATCCCAGGGGTGCACAGCTGAACCTTGGGGAAGGCCACCAGGTTTGTCCCCTCTGGGTCCCACAGCACCCAAAATGGGGAGGAAGGGGCCAGAGCCCTGGGAGGCCGCTCACCCAGCGGCACCGATAGCCCAGGATGACCCTCCCGAGAGGGCGCCATCTCCTGGACTGTTCCAGGCCCTCTCCCCTCCACCAACGGAATGTCCTGGGATACAGAGAAAGAGGAGAAAAAGAAGTGGAAGGATCTCAAAATGATGAAAAAGCTGGAGCGGCGGCGGGCACAGGAGGAGCAGGCAAGGTGCCAGCAGGAGGAGGAGGCGGCTGTCCAGACGGAGGACCGCGGTGAGCAGGCCGGGTCCTGGGCAGGGCAGAGAGTATCGGAGCTGGAAGGGACCCTGGAGACAGTGGATCCAGACATCTTGTCTTAATGGAGAAACTAAGGCCCAGAGAACGGGGGAGCCTCAGAAAGCTAATAACCTCCTGCTTAGATAGATTTCAAGCCCGTGGAGGATCAGCATCATCCGTCATAACTTTATGCCTCTGGAACCTCGTCACTTTAATGAGTTAGTTATGTGCTTTCGTTTCATTTTTGATTTAATTATTTTGATTTCATAAGAGTGCCCCTTTTTTTTCTCATTAAGTAATAGATGCTCAGAACAAAACTCCCCAAACAATTACAAAAACTATGAAGAAGAAAGGAAAAAAATCCCAGCAAACAGGGCAGTGAAAGTTTCTCCAGACTTTGTTATACCTGTTGAGAGGCACGTAGAGAGATGCGCAGATACAATGTGTGTCTTTTGTCCTTGTGCTTCTGGCTCTGGTTTTTCTCATCTCACATTTCGGTCAGGGTCCATGTCGTACCCTGTAAACCCAGTGGCTACCAGTGAATGATCGTGACAGGACAGCAGCGAGCCCGTCACCCCTCTCAGCCATGGGGAAACGCTTTATGGGCATCATCTCATGCGATTCCCTTTGAACACCTCCGGGAGGGAGGGTGTGGGTGGTCCTCTGGCACCAAACAACCTGAACCCATTATCTCAGCTGCTGCTTTTGTGTGACCTTGGGCCATGTATTTGACTTCTCTGGGCCGTAGGTTCCCCACCTGGGTAAATGTACACACATACAAGGCACTAAAAACAGGTATTAGTTTTCATTATTGCCCTGATTTGACAACTGGAGACCTGAGGCAGGAAGGGGTGGAGCCAGGATGGGATCTTGGGCCAAGCCTCTAACCTCTCCCTGGCCTTGCCCATTGGGCTGCCCTGCCCACAGGAGCCTTGGAGACCACTGAGTCCATTTTCCTCCTGGGGTGACTGAGGCCTGGAGAGGGGAGTTGGAACTATTTCGATTTCACAGTTTCTCCTGGTGGAAAATTCTCTAAATCTGGGCCCTGGGATTGGAGGAAGGGAGGGGAGATGGCCCTGGCCTTTCAGACTGACCATGGACACCCCTCCCCTGCCCAGGTCGGCCCTACACCCTGAGTGTGGCCCTGCCAGGCTCCATCCTGGACAACGCTCAGTCACCCGAGCTTCGCACCTACCTGGCTGGCCAAATTGCCAGAGCTTGTGCCATCTTCTGTGTGGATGAGATCGTGGTGTTCGATGAAGAGGGCCAAGAGAGCAAGTGAGGGGCCACCCAGTGGAGCACTGGGGCTCAGGGAGAGGGGAGGGGCTGCCGGGATCGGCTTGGCTTTGCCCTGTTCTCTGCCTGCTTACCTGCAGGGGCTGAGAAGCCTATCTGAAATGCCCCATTGATCCCTGGGGACTAGAGTTGTAACATGGCCACTGCAGAGGTCAGACTGGGTGGAGGAGCTCTGGAAGGGAACAGAGGCTCTTCCACCCTGTCTTTCTCCAGGACTGTAGAGGGGGAATTCAGGGGAGTCGGCAAGAAGGGGCAGGCATGTGTGCAGCTGGCCAGGATCCTGCAGTACCTGGAGTGTCCACAGTAAGCAGGGGAAAGGCAGACCTCCCTGAGCATGAGGGAGGTGGTCAAGATGCAGGTCAGGCAGGAGTGGCCTCCCCTGGGTACTTGGGTCCCCTCCCTGCCAGCCCCCACTCCCCCCACCTGAGATCCATATTCTCTACTAGGTACCTAAGAAAGGCGTTCTTCCCCAAGCACCAGGATCTACAGTTCGCTGGTAAGGTTGGGGGCCTGACCCCCATTTCCCACGGATCACCCCCCAGGCCTTGAGAAATCACTGTACAGTTGGGAGAGCAGAGCCAGGCAGGGCAGGGGCTGTGCTTGGTGGCAAGCAGCCAGTGTGTGGCAGAGCTGGGACCTGCACCAGGGTTCTCTGCCGCATCCCCGTGTGCTTTTGCATCTCCCAGAGTGCTGGTCCCTCCCCGCAGGGCTTCTGAACCCCTTGGACAGCCCTCACCACATGCGTCTGGGTGAGGAATCCGAGTTCCGAGAGGGTATCGTGGTGGACCGGCCCACCCGGCCAGGCCAGGGCTCCTTTGTCAACTGTGGCATGAAAAAGGTACGAATTGGAGGGTGGGTCAAGGCCTACTTCCCAGACACACTCTGGCCCTGAAGGCAGGGGCACACAAGTGGGGAGACCTGGACCCAGACAACTGCCTGCCATTCCCCCATCGATGCAGATTTGGGCCAGAGAAGTACTAGAAGAGGGCTCAGTGGATAATGCCAAGAACACATTTACTTCTTTCTTTCTTTCTTTCTTTTTTTTTTTTTTTTTCAATCAACAGAATGTAGCCCTTGTGCTGAAACAAAACAAACCCTGCAAAAACAAGTTTGAAATCACTCTGGGGCTGTCAAGTGTGATTTAGAGCCAAGCTGGAGATTGGAACATTCATTTGCCACCTGTTTTACTCTGGAGTTTCCTAGAGGCAGAGGCAGAAATATATAAAAGTGTGGGATCCCCTCTCCTCAGAGAGAACAGACCAGAAATAACTGGCTAAAGGCAGACCAGGGTTCCCCAAAGAAGACAGGAGAAAGGCATGAGAAACCCTCCAAAGGGAAAGAGGGTGTCCCTTTTTGGGAATTTGGCACAAAACACACATCGATTGGTACTTGTCACAGTTTGTGTGTAGTAAGCATTTGCTTCATGCCAGGTCCTGGGCTGTGTGACAATAGCTGTTGTGTATGGAAAGTGTTCTGTTTGACAGATGAGGAAACTGAGGCTCAGAGAGCATAAATGACCCACTTAAACTCCTGTAGCTAGTAAGTGGCATAATCTCCAAAATGCAGAGACCTGGGATTTCATCGAGTCAAGAAATACTTCTTTCCTGCTCTGCAAGGCCCAGAGCACTCATTTTTGATGGGTGTCTTGTGGTAGTCATTTTGCACAGATGGTCTCTTGTGAGCAGGTCCAGGTGCCAGAGTTAGGGTCGTCAGTTGACCTGGACCCCTTAGGTGCCTTGCCAGCCCCGCATATCTGCTCCACCCAATCTGGGAGAGGGTGACCCCTGCTGGGACTGTGAGAAACAGCACCCATTTCTTCTGGCTTCTCCCCAGGAGGTAAAGATAGACAAGAACTTGGAGCCTGGACTGCGAGTGACTGTGCAGCTGAACAAGCAGCAGCTCCCAGGTATCAAGAGCTGCCTCAGCCTGAGGGTTCAGGCTGCCTCCTTGCTCCTCACCCCGTCTTCACAGCCCTTCCACTTTTCCTTCAGAAAGCAAGACCTACCGTGGGAAAGTTGTGTCATCGCAGGACCCTCGCACCAAAGCTGGCATCTATTGGGGCTACACAGTCCGACTGGCCTCCTGCCTCAGTAAGGACAGAGCTTCCTCCTGTGAATATCCATCCTCTCTGTCTAGGAGGCCACAGAGAGCCTTGCTTGACTCAAAAGTCAGACCAGGATCTGTGTCCTACCAACTTGCTGTGTGTCCTTGGGCAAGTGCCTTTGCCTCTCTGGGCTTTTGTCACCCTGAGTGCACTGCCTGGGATGCTGCTAAGGACTTCCTGAGGAAGAGTATCGTGATTGATTAGTAATGTCTGCCCTGGGGTTAGAGATGAGGGGAAAAGGACCAGATAAGTCAAAGGCGTACTATGTGTTCTCAGAGCTCCTTCCTGCCCACCGTCTGCTTTGTTCTCCCATCTGGCACAGGCCCAGTCTCTCCGGGCTCAGTCCCTGACTTCCCAGGAATAGTGGGAGGGCTTGGGTTTGGGCCCCTTACCTGAGTCTCCCACCCCTCCCCCTGGTACCTGTACATATGTACACACACACAGAGCGCCAAGCACTGTAGCTTACGGGCTTTAGGCCCCTCAGTGAGCTGGCCTCCCCCAGGTGCTGTGTTTGCTGAGGCCCCCTTCCAGGACGGGTATGACCTGACCATTGGGACATCGGAGCGAGGCTCCAGTGTGGCCTTAGCCCAGCTTCCCAGCTTCAGGTACGTACGGCCTGGGGCAGGGGGCAGGGGATGCGGAAGGGAGCAGGGAAGCAGTGGGGGGGGGGGGCCCACCGTGTACGAGGGCCGAGAGCCCGGGGGCTGCACTCAGTGTGGCATTGCGGAGCAGTCAGTGACCCCCTCCTGTGGGTTCCAGACATGCTCTTGTGGTGTTTGGAGGCCTCCAGGGGCTGGAAGCTGGAGTGGACGCTGACCCCAACCTGCAGGTGGCTGAACCCAGTGTCCTCTTTGATCTGTACATCAACACCTGTCCCAGTCAGGGCAGCCGCACTATCCGCACGGAGGTGAGCCCACCTGCCGTTCCCACGTCCAGCCCCAGGCCATGAGCCGGCAGCCCGGCACTCGGGGTCTGCCCGAGGCAGTTTGCTGCTCTCCCTGTTACCCTCACCACAGCAGGCTTGGGGCAGGTATGGGGTGCGAGTGAGCTGGGAGTCAAGAATCCTGGGTGCTGGTCCAGCTGCCCCAGACTGAATGACCCAGGAGACCCTGCTCCCGCCCGCTCTGGGCTTTTGCTTCCTCAGCTGTGAGCTCAGTGTTCCACTTCCTCGTGTGACTGGTGTGCAGGGCCGCCCTCCCCCCAGGCCTCACTGGCATCTCAGTCCTGGCCACCCATGGCACCTGTACACCCATTCTGAGGTCAGCACGGAAGGCCCTGTCTGAGGGCACTTTGCTGGGAGGCTCCATTGCTTCCATCATTCTCAAGGGGGGTGGCTAAACAGGTGGACTGCCCCAGTCGGTCTATCCTTAGGCCCAGCTGGGGCCAGGGGCTGGGAGCCTGCCAGCCACACTTTCCAGCAGGCGCCCGGGCTCCCACCACCCCTCCAGCAACTATATGGAGGACTGACGGCGTCCTGCCTGTCACCTTCCCTGACCCTGACCCTGGGAGGCAGGAATTAGGATCAGCCCCATTCCACAGATGGAAGACTGAGGAGCAGAGGTGAGGCCCTTCCTGGCAGGGCATGGAGCCAGCCAGGGATGATCAGGACAAAGCTGGGATTGTCCTTAACTTCCTTGGGACCCTGGTGAAGGCAGCAGACCCAAGGGGCTGGGTCCTGTATGGTCAGGCACTGAGGACAGGCTGAGAGCCACACACCCACCAGCCCCCCAGGCCTCAGCCCATTGCTGCGCTTCTATTCCAGGAAGCCATCCTTATCTCGCTGGCTGCCCTGCAGCCCGGCCTCACCCAGGCAGGCGCCCGGCCTAGCTGAAGACTCCCCTGGACCCGACACTGCGAAGCCACAGCAAAGCTAGAGACTCCTGAGGTTTGCTGGCCCAGACACAGCTAAAACCTGTCTCCAAAAATAACCACCTTTAATGTGACCCCAGCCCCACAGTCTGGCTGGGCTTCGGCCCTCACTTGCTGCCCGCAGTGATGGCCTTAAGGCTGCCCGCCCGCGCCAGGATATTTGGCACAAAGAGCAGCCCTGAGGCCCGCTCAATGCTCTCGATGGGCACCAGGAAGCGCTCCAGCGGGACGGCCTCGTCCACAGGTGTGTTGGGCATCACATAGGAGCGGAGTTCAATCTGCCCACCTGTTGCCTCCAGGATCAGCACCTTGAAGAAGTGGGTGGGCACCGCCACATGGTTCCTGCCGATTACCTGGTACTTCACGTAGGACTTCCCATCAGCCTCCGTCCTGCAGACAGACCCGGGCACATGTGGCGTTTCAGAGCTCCCACAGAGTCTGGTTGGACCCAAGGCTGTTGCCACCAGGAAGCCTTCTCTGACCTGACCCCATAACTGTCAACCTGCTGTGCCCTTGGCCCCCCAAGAGGCCGGGACCTCCTGCTGGACAGGGTCGCACTCTGCCCCGGGTTTCCTCACACCCAACAATCGTGGCAGCCCGGGTGGTGGCAATAAATGCTCCTGAAACAATCAGGCGTTCTTAACATTCACAACCACCTGGGCAGACACTGGATTAGTGTCTGTCTCTCCCTGTGGGGGTGAGCACCAAGTGGGCCAGGCCCGTACCCCTGACTTCCCAACTCCAGCACAGGACTCCTGCGCGGCAGGTGCCTGGAACACTGGATGGGGGACTTGGGCCTTCCCCTTAGCGGTCTACGCCATTTCTGCAGGCCACCGGAGGCACCTGCTAATTAGGGTTTATCAGTGCCTCGGCCAGCCCATGCTGAGCCCTTACAACATCCACCTCCCACTTTGTCCCCGACTTAGGGGAACAAGGTAGATAATGGGTATTGTCCCCACAGGAGAGGATATTGAGGTCATTTGCCATGGCACCTGGAGAGTAGGTGATAGGGCCTAGACTCCATCCTGAGCCTATGGACTCCAGAACCAGCTCTCCAGCCTGTTGCTTCCATCATCCGTGTCACTCAGCAGGCCAGCAAAACTGCTTCCTTCAGGGTCAGGGAGGTAGAGAATTCAAACCCAGGCTCTGGGCGAAGGGTGGCAAAGGGTTGCTCCAAGCAAACAGGCTGAAGGCAAGAGCCTAGTGCAAGGGTTTCTCTCTGGGCACAACACCTGATTGGGTGGGTGTGACAAGAGGTGACAGAGGGCAGAGCAACAGGCAGATTCAAGGCCTGGTGCCCACAGAGGAGACATGCTCTAGGTGAGTACCCCAAAGGTCTCTGGCTTAGAAGTGGAATTAGGGGGGACCGGAGGCAGGGAATGGACAGACTTGCTAAGAAACCAATGACTAGTGAGCTGGCAGTGTTGCCCCAGAGCCTGAGACAAGCCTGGACAGAGTAAGTGGCAGGAGGGGACCTCTGGTTCCCAAGCCCCCAGTTTCAGCCTTACCTGGGCAGGAAGAGTGGCCCTGTACAGACATAGACATTCTGGTAGGTGCGGGTCAAGCTGCGGCTGTATTTCTCCAGGTTGTTCCAGGCATTCTGGTTGAGGTGAGGCACCTGGTAAAAGTGTGGGGCTCAAGTGGGGCTGGGACCTTCCTCTGTCAGAGGGGCAACCCCAGGCCCTGACGGGTGGGCACTGGCACCAAGCCAGAAGATTCCATGGAGAGGGCAAATCACTTTCAGGCTACCTGGCCACGAGGGTGTAGCCTACCAACCATCTAGAATGGGAGGACTAGTATCCCAGGTCTCAGCCGTTTCTCAGCTCCAAAGAGCCACTCCAAGGACAGGGGAACATCTACCGCTTTCAGAGAAACAGGCCTGCCCTGCCCCTCCCCTGCGCTCTCCTTTTCCCAGTCTGAACCACGTGCAGAGAGCCCAGCTGGGAAGTGTGGATCTATCCTGACTCCATCACTTGGGTGCTCCAGTCCTCAGTACAGCATCTAGTCAAATGGGTAGAGGACTGCTACAGGGAGGGAAGACGTCAGGTTGGAGGCTGGGACCCCACCAGCTTCACCCAGAGCCTCACGTCTGTCTCTATCCACTGGGTGCCAGGCCCTGCCAGGAACAGGGCTACAGGCAGGGCACATAGTGGGTGCTACTCAGGGCAGTCAGGATAGGACAGTGGCTGAAAGCTCAGGATCCCCTAGACTGCCTGGGCTGCCTCCCGCTGTGTGACACTGGGCCAGTCACTCAACCTCGCTGAGCCTCAGTTCCCTCATAGCTAATAGATTATTGAATGCCTGCCATGGGCCAGGAAGAGGGCTCAGTACTTTTTATAAGCACTGTCTTCAGTTCCTCAGCGCTTCTGCAGGAGGTCGGTGGGTAATAGCATTATCCCCCCCAGCGCCACAGCAACGGGTCCCTCCCGCCTAGGGCGAGCGGGGTGATCACACCTGACTTAGAGAACGCACTGGGCAGCCTTCCCCTCCTGCAGAGGAGCAAGCCGAGGCCCAGGGAGACCAGGCCGCCTCGCATTCCGCCGCAGGGCGCAGGCGCTACCTGGGGCGCGACGTTGCTCAGGTAGAAGGTGTCGTCCATGGCCTTCTGGCTCCAGCGATGGTTGGCGGCGGCCGCGAGGTGTCCACGGTCGAAGCCGCTGCCGCGGTAGTCGGCGTTGGTGGCTCGGTGGTAAGAGTGCACCGAGTCGTCCTCGCGGAAGTCGCACGAGCGGCGGTCGCCGTCGCCGCGGAGCCGCTCGGGCCGCAGCTGCTCCACCACCCAGAGCGCGCCGCGGGTGCGCGGGTCGTAGCACAGCACGTACGACTCGCGGCTCTTGAGCTGTGCCAGCCCCGGCAGCCCGTACTTGGCCAGCTCGCCCGGGCCGCTGCCAGCCGGGGCCCCGGGCACGACGGGCAGCTCGGCCGCCGCCGCCACGGGCAGCACGGGCAGCCGTCCCAGCAGCCCCGGCGCCGCCCGCGCGTCCGCCCGCCGCCGCCGCCACCCCTCGGCGGCGGCGCCCAGCCCGGCGCCCAGCGCCAAGCACAGGCCAGCCCGCAGCGCCTTCATGGCCAGGGAGGGCGGCCCAGCAGCTGGGGGAACGCCGCGACCTCCGGCGTCCGGCCCGCGAGGCTCTTAAAGGGGCCGCGCCGGCCGGCGGAGCCCGCCTCTGGTATAGGACTGGCTGAGCCGTGAGAGGCTGGAATGCCCGTCCCCTTTCACTGACGAACGCCCCGGGGTACTCGGGACCCCACAGAGGCTCGTCAGCACCGGAGCCGAGCGGGCGTCCTGGAGCCCTCTCCGCTCTTTTAATGCGGACCGGTGGCGGCGTGGCACCGCTGCTTCGGCTTCTGATTGGCCGTCGCTCGCCGGCTCCGCCCCCTCCCCAGCAGCGGGCCACTTCTTGCGCAAGCTAGAAGCGCCTGATCGCTGAGCGCAAAGAAGCAAGTAGCTTATTTAATCCTCAAAATAGCCCCCAGAGGGAGTTCCTAGTTAGAACGAGAACACGACTCTAGGTCCGTCTGACACCTCTGTCCTTCTAACCATCACACCGTTAGACAGGTCTAGGAGTTTGGTAAATATGTCCTTTACACCCAGCGTGAGGACAAGGATGCCCGCGGCTGGTGCTAACTGCTGGTCAAACAGAAACTGGTAGGACTCCAGAAAGCAGCTCGGACAGTAATTATGAAAAGCGTTAAAAAGGTTCATATCTTCCAACCCACTTAGAGGACTGAGCTGGGGAAATAAACCGAGCATGCAAAGATTTCAAACAAGTATCTTCCCCATGGTTTACTTATAATCGAGGCTGGAATAAGGAAAATACTGAAAAATAGAGGTGGGCCTTAGACAGTTTTAGCATATTGGGTAGAACAGTATATAGCCCGTAAAAGTATTTTTGGTCATACAACTTGTTGACAGGGAAAAGACACAAAATTATGTATCAAGAAAATGACAATGTAACACAAATTACATCTGCAGAGACATGTCGTTAGTGATTTTCTCCACATTGTGGGGGGTATAAATGACTTGTTTTATTCATGTTTTTTAATTTTTGAAGTTTTTTCTATCTAAAAAATAACTTACTGTGTAATTATGTATGTAATAGTTCCATCTCTAGTCCACATTCCCTCCTCCTCCCAGCTGTAAGTTGCAGTGGTGGAATGAGAAAACTCGAGCAGGGTCTTCAAGCATTTCCCGGCCTTTTCCTTGGACCACTCTAAGAGCCTCCTGACTCCACCCCTGCTCAAACTTTATTTTCCTGCTTTGGGATCTCAGATGTTTCAGTCCATCACAGCACCAATGCCCATTACAAAGAACACATGATTTATTAAAGACAATTTGTCATCAATAGCATTGATTCAAGGAACAAAACTGATGAAAAAACAAGCAGACTAACATTCTGACCCTCTGGAATGAGACTTGTTGAGCCCATACAGCCCAGTCCTTAAGTGTCCAAAGTCCTGGGGGAAGCTTCCCAAGCAGAAAGCCTCAGGCACTCTGGCTCTCTGGGCACCTCCCTTGAGAGTCCGGGGGGAGGGAAGAGGAGAAGGAATCGCCAAGGGCAGGTCCTTCCCTCAGACAGGATCCCACTGGGGAGCTCAACCTAACCTGGACACCATCCCTGTGCTCTTAACCTTCATCCCAAAGTGAAGGAGAGGGCACTGGACTCAGGTCTGGGACTGAGGAAATTAGACGCAGTGATTCAAGTAGTATGGCCCCAGGAGAGAAGGCAGGGGACAGGCAAGAGGGAATGCATCGGATGTCTGGGCACAGTCTGCTGGGTCCTAGGCTGTGGCCCAAGTCTCAGGCTGTGAAGGGGGTCAAAGCTGGGACTGAACCACCAGCTGAGAAGTTCCGGAAAGAGAGGGATCCAGACTGGTGGGCTCTTGAAGTCTGGCAAGGATACCAGCTGTCTTGTCTACCATACACTCAGTTCCAGGACAGAACTCAGAGCCTTCCCAGCCAGGACCTGCTGGAAAACCAGGAAGGCCCAAAAGGCAGGGGAAGGATGCTGACTCTGACCTTGGAAGGTCAAGAAGACTGTCTCCAACTCCTTTCAACCTTCCCAGCCCAACCATTCATCCCCAAACCAAGCACTTGCCAATCTGCAATAAATAATCAGGAGTCTGAATAAATAGTAAAAATCTCCCAAATATTACGTGTTGGGAAAGGAGGGGGCAAAAAGGCAAGCGCAGAAAGTCCCAGCAGCACCCAAGGTGGCCTGGTAAAGGAACCACTGGGCAACACTGTTCCTGGCCCCCAGCCAGGCCTGGTTAGGCAAGCAGGAAGTCCTGGCTGCTAGACTCAGGCTCTGGGGGGGCAAAAGGGTGCCTGCCCACCAGTCTGAGGGCCCTTGCTACATCACCCAGCCTTCCAGACCCAAACCACCTGCATCCTCACAAAAGGAGGTTGGGGACTTGGTCACAATAACCCCACTCCTCCCACAGCCCAGGAGTGGGAGTAGCCAGCTGCTCCCGCTCAGAATACACCTGTCCCAAATCCTGGGAACAGCCCAAGCAGGTGCCCAAAGGCCAGCACCTCCTTCAGCCTGCTTGAGAGACACACGGTCTCCTCACACTAACAGGACCTGAGCCCTTTGAGATCAGCTGTGCCCGGCCCTGGGAAGCCCCCTTTGGGCCCACCTGCCCTTTATGGGAGTCACCTGCCATGGGCTGGGACCTGCAAAGCCATGGGAATGACTGCTCTTCCGGAGCCCCTGGGTCCCAGCCCCTGGTACAGAGCTGCTTTCGTATCTTTTTCCCTTTGGGAGAGAAGGGCATTTGGGGGGATCTCTAGAAGATCCAGCTCTCCTTCCTCCTCCTCCATCTCGGGGCAGAAGGTAAGAGGCGGAAAGCTTCACGGACCATCATTTCTCAGCAGCTTTTGATTTCCAAGGTTTCTGTCGAGGGAAGCAGATTCCCGGCCCTCCGGTGAGGCACTGCGGACTCCCTCCCCGCCTGGGAGACCTGCAAGCCTCAGGCGGGGGGAATGGGAACAGGGTGCAGAGCCCAAGACTGACCGCCAGGGGCTCTGCTGAGCCAGACTCCTCATTCTGTCTGGGGGCTCATGGCAGTGGTTGGGGGTAAGAAGCTGGGGATAAGGCACCCCAAGAGAGAAGGGCAAAGGAAGAGCAATGGAGAGAGGAGCAGACAGTGAGGGAGTCACACACCCTCTGAGAAAGAGGTGGAGGGAGAAGAGAGGCAGACAGAGGTAGACAGGAAAGGGGAAGCACAGACCTAGAGGGACCAAAGGCACCCTCACCTCCCTCACATACTGACAGACACGCACAAACCGACCCACTACAGACAGACTCACAGAGTGGGGGAGCGACAGGGGGTGTGACCTGGGCCCGGCAGCTTCTTAGCTCCTTCACAGTGTCCCCTTCCCCCTGGAGAAGCCTGAGCACCAACGCCCAGAAGTTGTTTCTGGCTCATTTGCCAAGCACCTCCCCCCGACCTGAGCCCAGAAGACCAGAGCAGGAGAGGAAGGGAGCAGAGAGCAGAGGCAGGGAGGGACCCGTGCCAGCTCCCGGGGCCCCCAATCTGCCCCAGCCCCCAGGGAACAACTTCATGAGCCCCAGCTTTGCCCAGCAACCTGGGCAGAGTCCCAGGGCTGAAGAGAAGGTGGGAACTGGGGCTTGGTGGTTAGGAAGGAGCATGGCACAGTGTGCCCCCAGCGGGAGCGGCCTAAGGTGGGGAGCCGCGGTGAGGAGGCCTGCAGCAGGCCGGTCCTGCAGCTTCCCCTCGGGCTGGGATCCCACAGGCTTCTGCATGTCCCAGAAGCCAGGGCACAAGGGTCGGTGGCTTCTCTCCCAAACTGGGCCTCTTGCCTCCAGGCTACTTTGAGTCTTGGAGGTCCTTGGCTTTCTGTAGGATCTGGCAGACATCTGTGATGGGGTAATCCTGGACATGGGAGAGGCCAACAATGTATCTCTGACGTCAGCTCACCCCTCACCCCCTCTGCCACACCCACTGGGATCTGTCACCATGCTGGACCCTGGGCCTCGGGGACTGGGACCACAGGTTCCCATACACCCACATTCTGCCCAAACCCCCACAGTAGCTAATGTCACACCCACTGCAGCACTAACGTAATCAACCCCACCAGTACTATCCAAAGGGCCCCACAGGACCCCCCCTCAGAACTGCCCTGCCTCATTGCTCCCATCCTGCCCCCAAAGCCTGAGCTGCATGGTTAATGACCTTGGTACTGGTCTGGACCCTGTCCGTGCATCAGATCACTGAGGCACCTCGGCCTTCTGATGAAGGGGTTACTGTGGTTACACCTGTTTTACAGATCTGGTCAATCTGTTACCGAAAACCAAACCCAGCCCACATGCTGAAGAAACTGGGGCCTAGAGAGGTTGTCACTTGGCTCAGGTCACATGACTAGCAAAGTAGAAGAGATGTGCAAACCCAAAGCTCTCTGACCCTCGAGCCTACGTTTCTAACCATGATGCCCCCAATCTTTCCTTCGCCAGGTCTAAGTGCAACCACCACCGAGCACAGCCATGTACTGGGTGCTACCATGTGCCAGTATGATTAACTTGGGTACAGCACAAGTCATTCTCTCAAGGCCACACCACACGCAGGTGGCAGAGCTGGGGTTCCATCCCAGATCTGCCTCCGGGGTCTTGACTCCTAAGCCCTGCTCCACTCTACTGCTCCTGACCCCAGCCTGTCACAGCAGCTGGCATGGGTGGGTGCGTGGTAAGTATCTGCCTCGTGGCTGAAGACTGAGCTTGCCTCTCCAAACTCCATTACCTGCAGGAGCCGCATGTTTATGGTAAAGTCCCCGTCCAGCAACTGCTCCCGGATCAGTCTACAAAAAACAAGCAGCAAAAGTGCAGAGGCCCGGCTGCTGAGGGCCGACCCAGCCAGCCCTCCCATTCCTTCCTCACCCGACAGTCCCAGAGGCCCACTCCAGCCCTGGGAGACCAGCCCCTGCCCAGCCCTCCGCTCGTGGCCACACTCACATGAGCATGGCGCAGCAGACGAGGAGGAGGAAGTCAAAACGGCTGTCATCAGCAAAGAGGGAGTCCCAGATACGGATGACGTCAGGCAGCAAGAACTCCTGGGACAGCAGCAGAGTCAGCCAGCGGAAGGCGAAGAACTGGGGCTTGATGTTCTGCTCTTGCTGGGGAGACAGAGGTGTGGGGTGGGGTGGTGGGTGGCCATGTAATGGTAAGCTAAGTGGGGACGACTCTGGGCCACCTAGAGAGCCTCGCTAGGTTGGGGGGCAGCTGCTGCTTGCTGCCAGCCAATGCTGTCAGATCTTCTGATTTTTCAAGAGAAGCCAGAAACCCAGATTTTTATGTAAGCTCTCTAGATTTATGAATGATGGCTCAAATTCTTTTAAAACAGTACAGATTACAACCTTGGATTGTATACAGACAGAGAGACCATTATCAGGCACTTAACACAAGCCTGCCTTGTGCTTATTGGCATATTAAATATATTATCTCACTTACCTGCTCCATATGGCAACCCCACAAGACAATTATTCCCCAGAGATGAGCCCTCAGGTCACAGTGAAGATCATTAATTGAAAAAGTGTTACAAAACAACAAAAAGATAATTCCACATTTGTTTAAAAAGACATGTTTATATATTTTCTTATTCACAAAATCTATTTATATATAAAGGTTTAAACATAAATAAGCATGGGATACCACTTCAACAATTTTTTAGATTATTTTTAATTTTTAAAAATGAAGGCCATACTTCCTTTCTCAAAGGACAATTGGAGGCCAAACTCATCCAGGCTACAGCAAACGCCTGGCACCCAACAGGAGCTGAAGCCCCGCCCTCTCACTCCCAGCCTGCTGGCTCGCAGTCCTGCCCCAGCTCGCCGGCCAGTGCTCCCGAGCGGTAGCAGCCACTTTCAACCCCTGGATCAAGCCAGACCTTGCCCTGAGCCCCCGATGCCCAGGAAGGTTGCTGTCCTCTGCCCTTCCCACCTGTCTGCCCTGGCTTGTGTGGTCCCAGGGTCCTCACCAGTTTCAGGTAGAGTTCCACATCCTTATCCTTCAAGGTGGAGTACACCTTTTCCATCTTGTAGGTGATGCCACATTGTGAGTCATCCAGGCTCTTGATGAAGTTGTCCCGGATCTCAGCCATGAGGTTGGTGAAGCAGAAGAAGGTGTCTGCCTCAGCGTGCTCTGGCGAGACGGGCAGCGTGAGGGCAGCCACAAGGGAACTGGTACCCTCCCGAGTCCCACCCATCTCTCTTCCCTTCACCTCTGAGCCTCTCCAAGTCACCCGCCCTCACGGTCAGGCTCGGTCCCTCCCCTGTCCCTGGCCACTCTCCACCCCTGGACTAGGGACATCACTTCTGGCTTCTCCCATCTGGCACCACTGTACACTCACTCAATAGGTGACATGCTCTTCTGATGACATTTCTCAAATCATTAGTTATTTAAATCCTTCCTATTATTCAGCTTCCTGTATATGCATCTCATCTCCTCTACCAGAAACTCAGTCACAAATACCAAGAAATTCTATAAACTTCCAACATTCTATGAAGTCCAAGCCAGAAAGGATCTCAGAGATGATCCAGGCCAACCCACTCATCCAACAGAGGGAAACGGAGGACCAGAAAGGGGAGGTGAGCTGCACAGCCAGATAAGCCCAGTAGTCTAGGTCTCCTCGGCCCATTTGTCCAGGGAGCCAGCTACGAAGGACGTGGGCAGCCAAGAGCCCCTTTACCTTTCCACTCGCTGTTGGGGTCGGTGGCAAAGGTATAGTAGAGGGGCCCCACGATCTCATTCATGCCCTGCACATAAGCAATGCCAGGGTTGAGCTTGGCGTAGATGAATAGGATCCGCTCCACCACCTCCCAATGGGCCTCACAGCCATTGGGCAGCACCTCGTACTCATTCAGGGAAGACGGTGCAGAGCTCTTGTGTGGGGAGCTCATCTGGGGAAGAAGAGGAGGAGCCTGTCAACAAGGCGAGTGGCACTGTGGACGGTGTGTTCTCACCAGAAACGTTTACCGTTAAGCCTAGACTTAAGCTCCAGCTTTTGGGAAATACATGTCCAGCACACCAGGAGGACACACAGACTGATTCACAATGTGAGACATTCCTCTACAAGTCCGCTGGACTAAAGAATAACTTATGGTGATAAAAGCCTGCAGAGTGCTTACCTCAAGGTGAGGGGTACTGACTGGGACTTCCCAGATGATAGAAATGTTCCACATTTTGATATGGCCGGCAGTTACACAGGTACATATGTAAGAAAAAGTTTACCTAGTCGAATACTTAAGACTTGTGCATTTTACTGCATGTAAGTTATATTTCAGTTAAAAAAAAAAAAACTTTTAATATGCCAAAAACAAACAACTGGCCAAGACTTCAAAACGTGGAATGCTGTAGTGAGGGGAATAAGTGGAGGTGTGTCCCCACTGAGAGACTAAAGAAACATGGCTCCCAATGCAACGCCTATGCCTTGACTGGGTCCTGGTTTGGAAGGAGAACAAAGATCTTCTTGGCACAACTGAGGACATCCACCACGGAGTGGACGTCAGGTGTTCCTGTGGAAGGACCATGCACCCTCACAGATGGGAGAGGCCGAGGAGGAGGAGGTCACTCAGAGGTGCCTGCCGGAGCACGTGAGGGTAAGGGCGCAGGGCAGCCGCAGCCTGCCTTCTGTGAAACACGCTCCAATACGCCAAAACGTGAACAACTGCTGGATCTGGGTGGCAAGTACACAGGTGTGCACTGGACTCTTCTTTCAACTTTTCTGAACATTTTAAATTTTTCATAAGAAAAAGCTGGGAGACAAATAAAGAGGTGGCCCCTATTACAGGCTCATGCAGCACAGCCGAAGTCCCCAGCAGCGGCTGCCCAACAGGACCCCTCAGAAGCTTTGTGGGGTTACCTGTAGGAGAGCTACAGGCAAAGCCGGGCACGGACAGTGTTTGGAGCACAGGGTCCTGAAGTCACTAAAGCCCCTTTCCCACTGAACATGCACTAGTGTGTACATGTGCACACACGGATACACACATCGCTAGCATTTACCAACTTTCTATATGCAAGGCAGTGCCCTATAAGCATTTGTCCATTTCATCCTCTGAACAATCTAGAATATCCTCTCAATACTAACTTAACAGTGAGAAAGCTGAGGCTCAGAAATGTTACGTCACTCATCCAATGCCTCACATTAAGTGGCACTGGGACTTGAACCCAGACTCGCTGACTCCACAACCTGAGGTCCAGGCCTCGGAGAATGCCCAGTGCTTTTTCCAAGAACCTGCACAGCCATGACCTCATTTCATCCTCCAAGCGATTCAAAAGCCAGCAGGGCAGAAATGATCATGTCCACTTCACAGAAAAGGAGATGAAGGCCCAAGACGGTAAGCCTGCGTTACCTGCCTATAGTAAACAGATGGCCAACTGTAACTCGAACTGCCAACCGTGAGTCCAGAGGTCTAGGCATGAAGCTTCTGGTCAGGTTCTCTGCCACCAGGACCAGGTCCAAACCTCAAATGGGTTAGAGCTCACCTCTCAGACCCTAATTACTGTGGTGATATGAATGACAGAATCCAGGTCTCCACCTCGTCCCACAGCCGGGATGTCAGCAGCCTACCTGCACACAGCCAGCCACACAGTCATCCAGCCAAGCACTCTGCACCTCCTGTTCACCCAACTGTCCTGGGCACGGAGAACTCTGGGATCAGCTGTAACTGCCCTTGTCACCCCTGTAGCAGAAAACCACTGCTCTCCTAGAGACACAGAGCCTTGATCCGTCATTCCACTTGGAAAGAGCTTCTGCAATAGCATCTGCCACTGGCTTGTTGGAGGGTACAGAGGATTTTTCTAGTGTTGGAGGACAGCAGTACTAAAGCACACATGTAAATTAAAGAATAAGATAATATACTTTAATGACAAACAGTTTCTCAGAAATGTGCTAGAAGACAGGGGTTCAAACACTCAGCATGACGTGCCCCCCACAAGTCCTATCAATTCCACCTCCCAAGTCTTTCAGATCTATCCCCACCCGCCCTTGCCTGGACCACACAGCCGCTGCCCAGCAGCCTCCCCACCTCCATTCCTATCCCCTCCAGTCAATATCCCCACAGTGCCCACAGCAACCTTTCACAAAGGCAGCCCTGAATCACATTACTGCCCTGCTCAGAACACTGCAAGGGTCCCCGAGCCCTCAGCACAAAGGCCCCTCATGGCCTCACCACCACCAGAACCACCACTACCTCCGCCCCACCCCAGCCCCACGCCTGCCACTGCATCTTCCACAGCCCTCCCCTCCCCCTTCTCTCTATCTCTGCCAGGCTGGACCCTCTATTCCTCCGACACACCCTGCTCTCTCCTGCCTGAGGACGTCACATATGCTCTCCTTTCCACCTGGAAGGCTCTTTCCTCCTAGTTCTTAAAGCCTCATCTTCAATGTCCCTTCCCAAGGGAAGTCTGCCCCGATACTCAGGCCACCCCGATCATCGCACCCATCACGTTTTCCCATCACACATGACATAGTTACTTTTCAAGAGCCATCTCCGCTGCAAGCTTGCAAGTGCAGCTCCCTTGCTGCCCAGCAGTGCCCTCTCCCTGCGCCCGTCACACCCAGCCTTTGAAGTCTGACTTTCAGAAGGAGCCCCAGACGAGCCCCGGGCAGGACCAAGGCTGCTCTCTCTGGGAAACTGCCAAGGCAAGATGGTCATGGGCCTGGTGGCAGGTGGCCCAAGGGAAGCAAGGAGGAAAGGGCTGTCACAGGCGTCCCTTGGGCCCCCCAGGTTGGCTCTCACATTTGTGACCCCACTCCGGTTCCGGGCCACTGTCTGGGATTTCAGCGTTGTCTGCTCCACCCGCTTACGAAGGGTCTCAAACTCATTCTGGGGGTCCAGGATGAGGAGGCAAGGGTACTCAGTGGCCCTCTGGAAGAAGGATATGTCTGGACACAACCTCCTGACAAGGGGGAAGAGCAGAGAGTAGTTACTCAGGGTGGAGCTCTGGGGCTTTCTATCAGCACCCTGCCGCCAGGTGCCCCAGCATCCCAAAAGGCATTTTTATAATTTCTTTTAAATAACATTTTATTTTTAAAAATTACAATTTTAGAAAAGCAACATAGTCATCATATATATTCACCCATATTCTCATGTATATTTGCAGATACATATATAAACATCCATATATTTAAGTGTCCTTATGGTTTTACAATCCAACTCTTCTCTTAAACCACAAACATCTTTCCATGTCAAAAATACTCTAAAATGTATAGGATGTTTGTTACCTGTTGTGTGGTTTAAAATGGCGAAAGAGGTTAGGTTAAGTTACACATTGTACAACAGAGTGTTATTCAGCTGACGTGGGAAGATGGCAAAGAGAGGAAAAAGCAAGCTGGGAGACAATCTCTAGAATGTGATCAAGTTGGTTTTGTTTTGTTTCCAGTTTATTGAGATATAATTGGCACACATCACTGTTTAAGCTTAAGGCGTAAAGGTTCTCACACATATGCACCGCAGCACATGCACATTCTTCAGACTTCTTATACACAGCACATTGCAAAATTCCATGTAGTCATGCTACAATCACTACCGGTGTGAGACAGAACCTGTGTCCCCAGAACCAGGTTCAAGACACGTTTCTTGACTTAAACAGGGCTGTTAAAACACCTTGTGGAAAGAGGCTGCCCAACACCAGCCTGAGAATGAAGGAGGTAAGAGCCCCCTTGCATCCTGGCTGCACCACCCTAGCCTGGGCTTCCGTTTGAAAAAGGGTCTGGGCCAAACGTGCACAGAGGAGCAGCACACAGGGTGCTGAAGGGCTGGAAATAGAGCTGACAACTGGGGAAGGTGGAACTGAAACCAGGTGGACAGACTCCAGAACCCGCGCTCTAACCATTCAGCTCCACGGCACACAGGCCTTCCTTCTAGCTCCTCACCCAGCCTTGTGGGAGATTCACCCGCTGCCAGACTCACCAACCCAATAGGACAGCACAGCCAGTGTTTCCACATTTGTTTCCCAAGTGGAGAAGCCCACGAACGCACATGCTGCAGCCAAATATTTTAAAAACCACACGTCTGACTCTGTCACTCCTGTGCTTAAAACCTTTGCATGACCACCCACCTCCTTGGGAAGTCCAAGGTCCAACCCCTGCCTCCCGTAAGTGTGGCTTCCACCCCACTGGCCTTCACACTGCTCCTGGAACGGGCCAAGCTCCGAGCTCCCAGGGCGCCCCACAGTCAGCTCCCTGCCCACCAGGGCCTTTCCCTTTCTCTTCCCCGAGGGCTCTGACTCCTCCGCCCTGAGCTGAAACACCGCTTCTTCAGGCAGGCTTCTCTGAAGGCCCCAAAGCACCCTGAATGCCTCCTTCAGAGCATTCACCACACACTTTAACTACATGGAAGACCTATTTGGTGACTGTCTTTCCACCTTCTCTGCCAGGTTCTGAGCTCCTTAAGCAGAAGGATCATATCTGCCAATTCTGTGTTCAGCCCTGACCTTGGCACTGAGCTTGCCATACAGTGGGGCCTGAGTATTTATTGCAGGAGTGATGAGACAAATCCATAAACGTCAGCGGCAAAGTCAAAACTAAGGCAGGGAGAAAGGAGAGCCAGGCAACCCCTTCTCAAGCCTATTGTTACCAGGGCCTGGGCTGGACAGGGCAAGGGCGTAACTGGAAATACCTGGAAGTCCCATGCCCACCGCAGGCCCCCACCCCTCTTACCGGACATCTTTGTCAATCTGCAGCAGCACCTCGTTGTCCTTGAAATACGTGTTCCACCGGCTATCAGGGTTGGGGTTGAGGGGCTGGTGGGGGAAAGAAGCTGCTCTGTTCTAGGCCCAGACAGGGCCCGAGGGGCAGATACCGGTCAGGGGCCTGAGCAGTGGCCCTGCACCAAGTACCCCACTAGAGGCCCAGCTGTGGCTCTGAGATAGCCTGCCAACTCCTTGAGGGGCAGCACCGGCCTCCCGCAGCCGCCCAAATCATCCCCAAACTCCACAGCTGGTAGCTGAGCCCTGCAGCCCCCAGCACTGCTCTGTCCACTGCTGCAGCTCTAGAACATTGCATGTTACATGTGCTCACTGAATGCTTGCTCCAGGCCACGGAAAGGCAGTTTACCCCCACTCTTTCCCTTTTCTGACTTCCTTCAATTATAAAATCAAAGACTCCTCCTCAAGAAATGGGCATGAGGAGGAAAGGAGACAATGCACACAGAGGACCTGCCTCAGTGCCTCCCACTCCTGGAACCCCAGCTGTCACTTAGTCCTGACCCAGCCCAGAGCCTGAGGTGAAGAGGGGAGAGATATCTGCCTACAGGGGCTGAGTGGCCATACCAGAAAGGAGGTGCTGCAAGGGACCAGAGGGGACTGAGACTGGCTGCACTTGTCCTCCAGGGTGGGGCAACAGCCTTGCCCCCAACCTCACTCCACAGCCTCAGCCCCCACTGCCCACCCCTACTCACATGGTCCTCGAAGGTCACATCCTCCCTGGACACACCCATGTTGGCCTTGGCAATGCCAGGCTGGATAATCATTTCCCTCAGGAATTGAGCATAGAGCTCCCTGCAAGAGAGAAGGGATGAGAGGGATGATTCCTAAGGGTCTCATCCGGGGAGCTGGACGGGCCCAGCACTACCTGTTCTGTCGGATACAAGGGCCCTCCCATCACTCCCCTTTCTTGAGGTCTCACCTTTGCTTGGCCAGGATGGAGGTCCATGAGGCTCTCTCCAAGGGGAGGTAGTTCAAGAGGATCTGGAAAGAGGAAGGAGAGCGAAGTTCTGGCTACTCCCCGAGCCCAACCCTGGACAGTAGGTGGAGGCTGACAGGCCTCAAGGGAAATGTCTGCTAAAGCCCAGAGAAGACATGATGGACTGAAACCCAGAAGCACAGGCGTGGGTGTAGCCTCCCTTTCCTCCCCATTGCCTCCCTCTTCCTTTATCCCAAACCAGCCCTTTCCCCTGCTTTTCCTCACACAGACTCTTCCAAATGATAATAAAACCTCATGCTCAAAGGGGCTGGAAACCAAGACATTGGGCCTTCGCTCCCACCTCGGCTACAGCTTTGGGCAAAGCACAGCTTTCTTTTGTCCCAATGAGCATCACTTCCACTGCACTGCATGGACCAGGAAGCAGACGGCTTCCCTGGCAGTACAAACTGTCCCATCCCCAAGGGGACCCTGGAGGGGATGCCAGTAGAAACAGAAAACCCAGAACTTCCCAGGAAAGCTTCCTCAGACAAGCAAGGAGAGGTGCAGAACAGGACGAAGGGCTTGGGTTGGGGCAGCCCATGCAGGAACCTCAGGATTTTCAGCAGAGCAGAAGCCCCACCCCAGGCACACCCACCTTCCAGCAGAGGCACCGCAATCCGCCCTCACAGGGGATGCCTGTGGACACAGCAGGCAAAGGTCACACCCCAGGCCACAGCCCCAGAACCCTCCAGCCCTCCACCTCGGAGCCAGTGGCAGGGAGTGGAGTGGGCAAGAAGTACTTCTTCAAGAATTATTTTCTGTAAGAATGATTACTAGACTAGATGCTAATCCATCCACCAACCACCATCTCTCCCAAGCAAAGTCAGGTCCCTCATTATAAACAGTAATGGCTCCATGACTTCCCTTTCTTAGCATCCGTCACAGTTGTAACATCATGATGTAACTTGTGTATTTCATTAACATCTGTAACCCCTACCACTCGGTAAACCCCAGAAAGACAAGAACCAAATTTGTCTTATATTGTACCCAGCATAAGGCATGGCACATAGAAAATATTACATAAGTATTTTGTGGAATATAAACTAAGCTATGAATACCCAGTGCTTTGTGCTTTATGGACATTATTTCACTTATTCCTCATTATAACCCTAGTAAATAGGGAAGATCAGCTTCGGTGTCCTCATCCTACAAATAAAGAAATTCTATCTGTACAGACAGAGCAATCAAGGACTCAAACACAGATCTGACTGCAGAGCCCAAACTCTTAACCACTACCACAGACAGCCTCCCCAGAGGCCTGGGGAGGATTCGTCAGTCTAGCACAGATCCCAAGACCCCTCAAGAACTTCAGGGCCTAAATATCACTTCTGAACAGAAACACAAACTTCTCCTGCAATATTGTCAGGAACCTTGCCAAAGCAGCTATTGCTCCGGTATCCCTAATAGCATGAACAGGAGCTAATGCCCCCACCTCAGAAACTGCACGGGGATGAAAGGAGCAACTCAAGAGTTCCTTGCTGACAACATTACCAGGGCAGCGCAGTGATCAAAAGCTACACAGAATACTTTGGGGTATTTTTAAAGCCAAGCAAAAATCTCTGTGCTGGAAGGTTAACTGTACAAGGGAGGGCAAAGTCAAACACTGCTGAGGCTCAGCAACTTAAAGTCAGTGTCTCCAGGCTGGAATTTTACCAACCAAAGTTCAGGTTCCCTAGTCAGCTTTGATCCCAAGCCAGGGAGAGAACCAGGAACCACTCTGCAGTTAACCCAATTCTACAACACAGGGAGCTTGCTAAGGACTGAGGGGAGACCCAACTCGACTCCAAAAGTCTGCTCCCCGCTCCCATCCCCATCCTCGTCCTCTCCAGTTACTCTCAGGAAGTAATAGACGTCACTTTTGCACCGTGAACACCCTACGGCCTGCAGGTGTGCTAACTGTAGCAGCCACTCCCCTGGAAACCCCCTCCAAGCTGAGGGCAGTCACTGGTTGTTCAGCTCCACAGAATGCAGAATGCCCCAAGAGGCAGCCTGGCCCCCAGAACTGACCGGATGTGGCCTTCCTTGGGCACAACCCCCTCCATCCTTGCCACAGTGTTGCTGCAGGAAAACCCTGAAAATGGAAAGTTGCCTCTTACCACTAAAACTAAGTTCCCGAAGCTTCTCCAAGGTGATCATGGGCTCCTTCAGGACATCCTGGAAATCTGCAATCCTGGAAGGTGGGAGGGAGAGGCAAATGATATACACCCAAACCCTGAGCTGACAGGCTTAGTGACCGCTCCTGAAGCCCACAGCTCCCTCAAACCACCAGTCTCCAACCTGTTCCTCCCTCCCCTTCAGGACGTACAGATGGCAAAGCTCAATCAAGCTGGCCAAAGGCAGCTTTGGGGAACCAGAGAATTATAGATCACTTCTTCCCCTAAGCCCAGAAACACAGTATTCTTGTCTAGAGGTTCTCAAGTAAGCACCATGAAATTAGAAAATTGTAATATCTGATGAGATGGCATTTATTGGGCACTTCCTGCCAGCCAGGCTCAGCCCACAGGGCCACTTATCTGAATTCAATGAACCCTAAGACCAGGAGTAATTTGATCCCTAGACAACAGACCTGTGTAATCTGCAAGCATCATTCCAGGCTCAAAAATACAACCATTTGAAGACCTCTGGGCCAACCCAGGAGCAAGGACAAAAGGTTTAAAAAGCAAGTCCTGCAGAAAAACTGGAGTGAGCAAAATTTAACCAATGCTGCGGTATTTGGCCTGGGAGAGGGGACAGGCTGGAGAATCCAGGTTTTCTCTTTTCTAGTAAGAAACGGGCATGCGGGACGAGGAGCATTTGGAGGAAGGAGGGTACTTGGGCTGAGGATTAATAAGAGAGACAAGAACGGAGGGGAAAGGGGAGGTAACGGGGCACCGACGCCCTGAACGAGGAAGACACCAGGAGGAAAGCAGGGGTCCGCGGTGAGGGAGAGGGGCGATGACCCCAGGGCAGAACTGCCTCCGTGTGTGTCCCCTAAGGCCCACAGGCAACGAGGCTGGGGAGAGGGCGCCTGAGACTCACTACCTGGGGGCTCCCGGTTCCTGGCCGCACCCGCGCCCCGCTCCGTGAGGCAGAAGGGGCGGCCTGGCCAGGAACGGTCTGGCCGCGGCAGCCCCCTTGGCCACTTACCGGCTCTTGTGCAGACTCGACATGGTGTTGACTTCCGGATCCCCCTCTGCCTCCGCCGCCCCCGCCGCCCCCGCCCCCGCCCCCTAGGGACGCAGGCGCTCCACAAAGGCTTCCGACCAGAAACGCAGCCGCGGGGAAACTCGTTCCGACCCCACCCCCAACTCCCCCAGCAGGCTCCGCCGGCCCCGGCCCGCCCACTCGCCCGCTGCCCGCGCTACCGCGGCCCGGCAGGTGCCACGAGCGTGCCCCACCCCCGCCCGGTTTGGGAGCCCTGCGGACCACGTCTAAGAGCTGCTAGTGACGTCAGATACTGTGCCCCAGGGCTATTCTTTGCGCTTCCCGGGGCCTCAGTTTCTATCCATGCAATACGCTTGTCACCCTCTCCTCTTCCTCTCCTCTTCCTCACCTGCAATAAACTATTGCGTCATTGTTTCGGGGCTGTGGACCTTCTCTGCTAAACTCTACGCCTCCCGGCTGGTCTTTTCACTACTCAATCCTCCACACCACATGGAGCGGATGTTTCAGTAGCTGTGGGATGGGAGAACAGGATTACAACTCATTGTTCTTTGATCCGTGGATTTCACTAACTTGAAATGTACCAGAATATCAGAAAAATAGAAAAGGAAAGCCAAGATTTCAGGATCCTTCCCAAGACAGTTGGTGGCCTTACAATGATTTTCTCCACACATATGTGTGCACATGTACCTAATTGTCCTTATTTTTTACATTTCTCCACAGATTGGTGAAGACTTTGTAACTGGACTGTGTAACCTCGAAACCCCCTCCAACTCTCCGGTGTCTGCCCACCAGGACTTCACTGCCCAGTGGAGCAGGCGCACAAATACCTGCTCCATTATTCACGCATCCCACAATTTCTGCTCCCACTGTGTGCTAGGCAGTGGGCTAAATGTTTCTGCAGAATACAAACATCAAGTTCCGTTATAGAAAATACAAGAAATGAATAAATGTTGACTTAATTGCACAACAGGAAAGAAATGTTTTTTCAGATAAAAATCATACCAGCTGGTCCTTTAAAATGTTAGTTAGGAAGACAAGGAAAACACAAATGATATGTTAAGAAAAATACAAATATTTGGCTATCATTTGGGAAAAAATAAAGTCCTAGTCCCGCCTCACATCTGACAGAAAAAATAGATTCTTGATGAATTAAAGCTCTTCAAGAGAAAAGTCTATAGGATTAGAAAATATATATATAGAAAAATATTTATATTTTCTCTACATATATGTATATATATATGGAATATACAAGGTCCAGAAGCTATGAACGATAACACAGATATTAACTACGTAAAATATTAAATCTTTATATGGTAAAGTAAAAGACAAACATCAATAGGGGAAAATATGTGCACTCTTTATGATAAAAGGCTAATCTCCCTAACATATACAGAGTTCTTAAGTCAACAAGAAAAAGACAAACACCACCATAGGAAGAAAAAATAAACATTCACTCATTCAAGAAATTTATCGAGTGCCTATGATGTGCCAGGTATGTTCTAGGTATTGGGAACTTAGGAGTGAACAAAACAGACTAAAATCCCATCTCTCAAAGAGTTGACATCTTAGTGAGGGGAGGAAGATATTAAGTAAGATAAATAAGTCAACTGAATCGTTTGTCAGATGGTGATAAATCCCTACAGAGGAAAATAAAGCTGGAATGGTAGTAGGAGGTGTTGTAATTTTAAGAAATAGAATCAGGAAAGCCGCTCTGAGATGACATCTCAGCAAACATCCAAAGAAGGTAAGACAGCAAAGCTTATTAGCAGCCACTTCAAAGAAGAAATAAAAATATCCTGCCAAAACCTGAAATAACATTAAGTTGGACTAATACCCAAAGAAGTATGAATGAGCCACCATAGTGTGCCTCTTGGATGGGTAAAAGTAATCAGTATTTATCGGACCCTACATCACTAGGATGTGGAGAAACAGACCTCTTCCAAGTAGCTTTAAAGAGAGTAAGACTGTACAGTTTTTCTCTAGAGCAAATTGACAAGCACTAGTACAACTTTTTTAAATTTGTGCGTTTTTATTAAACCTCATATTGAAACATAGGATCACAGGAGGTTACAGAGATAGTACAGAGAGTCTTTTGCACTTTTCATCTAGTTTCTCTCACTGGTTTCATCTTAATACAATTTATCAGCTTCAAGATACAGTGGGTGTTCCACAAACTGCATATATTTCAAGTAGACACTTTTTAAAGTTGACATATATATATACATGCCTGTAGAACCATCACACAATATATATCTATCATCACTAAAAATTCCTCCTGCCCTTTTTTACCTCCTCCTTTCTTCCTCTTTTTATATACCCTGTCTCCCCACATACCCAGGCTTGCAATTTCTAGAAATGTATATAAAGGGAAACATACACTATGTACTTGTTTTATCTGGCTCCTTCCACTCAGCATAATTATTTTGAGCTTTGTGCGTGTTGTAGCATGCATCAGCACTTCATTTCTTTTTATTGCAGCATAGATTCTATTACATGAACATAACCATAATTTATCCATATACCTGTTGATAAACATTTGGGTGCTTCTATTTTTTTGCTATTACACAAAAGGTGCTATGAATATTTGTGCACATGTCTTTATAGGAACATACACTTCTTTTCTCTTGAAGTGGAATGGTTGGATGAAGCTAAAATTTTTCAGAAACTGCCAAATCACTTCCCCACATGGTTGGGTCATTTTAAACCCACACCAGCAGTGAATGAAGGTTCCTGATGCACCACATCCTCACCAACACTTAGTATTGTCAGTCTTTGTAATTTAGACATTCTAGTCTAGATGCACAGTGGTATCTTACCATTTTTTTAATTGAAGTATAGTTGATACACAATATTATATTGGTTCAAGTATTCACTGTGTACACAACACAGTGATTCAACAGTTACCCGCATTATTAAATCCTCACCCCAACTAGTGTAGTTTCTGTCAACAGAAAGATTTACAGAATCATTGACTATATTCACCATGCTGAAGGTTCATCCCTGTGACCAATTTGTATTATAATTGAGATTTTTGTGCCTCTCTATCCCCCTCCCACCCACCTACTGCAACTCCTTCCCCGTGGTAACCACCAGTCACTTCTCCACATCTCTGAGTCTACTGCTGCTTTGTTCATTTTGTTTTGTTTTGGTTTTAGATTTCACATGTAAGTGAAATCATATGGTATTTGCCTTTCTCCACCTGGCTTATTTCACTTTCAGCGTAATACCTTCTAGGTTCACCAATGTTGTCAGAAACAGCCGGATTTCTCTTTTATGGATGAAGAATATTCCATTGTGTATATATACCACTTTTTCTTTATCCATTTATCTATTAATGGACACTTTGGTTGCTTCCATATCTTGGCTATTGTAAATAATGTGTCAATAAACAGGGGTGCATATATCTTTTTGAATCAGAGATTTTGTTTTCTTCTGGCAAATTCCTAGAAGTGAATTACTGAGTCATATGGTATTTCTATTTTTAGTTTTGTTTGGAACATCTGTACTGCTTTCCACAGTGGCTGCACTAATTTCCAGTCCCACCAGCAGTGTAGGAGGACTCCCTTTTCTCCACATCCTCACCAACACTTGTTATTTTTCGTCTTTTGAATAGTGGCCATTCTAACTGGTGTAAGATGGTATCTCATTGTGGTGTTGATTTGTATTTTTCTGATGATTAGTGATGTGGGGCATCTTTTCATGTGCCTATTGGCCATCTGTGTTTCTTCTTTGAAAAAATGTGTGTTCAGGTCCTCTGCCCATTTTTTAATTGGGTTATTTGCTTTTTGGTGTTGTCATATGAGTTCTTTATATATTTTGGATGTTAACCCCTTATCAGATAAATCATTTAAAAATATATTCTCCCATACTGCAGGCTGCCTTTTTGTTTTGTTGATGGTGTCCTTTGCTGTACAGAAGTTCTTTAGTTTGATGTAGTCTCACTTGTTCATTTTTTGCTCATTTCCCTTGCCTGGAGAGACATGTCCAGAAAAAAAATTGCTCATGCTTATGTGCAAGAGATTTTTGCCTATGTTTTCTTCTAAGAGTTTTATAGTTTCTTATTTTGGTCTTAATATGCATTTCCTTAAAGACTAATGATGTCAAGCATCTTTTCATGTGTTTGTCATTCATATATCTTCTTTGGGGACCTTATCTGTTCAAATTTATTGTCAATATTTTTATTCACTTGCTGTTTTCTTACTGAAATTGAGTTTTGAGGATTCTGGATACAAGTCTATTTTATTTTTATTTTTAATCATGGTAAAATAAAAAACATAAAATTTACCATCTTGACCATTTTTCAGTGTACAGTTCAGTAGTGGTAAGGGCATTCACATTGTGTGCACCCAATCGCCAGAATTCTTTTCATCTTGCACAACTGTAACTCTATATCCATTTAACAACCTCTCCTCATTTTCTCCTTCCCCTCAGCCCTGTTAACCAGCATTCTACTCTCTGTCTCTATGGATTTGACTACTCTCAATACCTCGTGTAAGTGGAATCATACAGTATGTGTCTTTTTGTGACTGCCTTACTTTTTTATTTAAAAATATTCTGAAAAAAGAATGTAAAAATCTATTTATTTCACTTAACATAATATCCTGAAGTTCAGCCATGTTGTAGCATGACTAAGAATCTTCCCCCTTTTTAAGGCTGAATAACATCCCATTGTATGTGTATACCACCTTTTCTTCATCCATCTATCCACCAATAGACACATGGGTTGCTTCCACTTTTTGGCTATTGTGAGTAATGCTGCTATGAATAGGGTGTACACATCTCTCTTCAAGACCCTGTTTTCAATGCTTTGGGGCATGCAACTAGAAGTGGAATTGCTGAACCATATGGTAATTCTATTTTTAATTTTTTGAGAAACTATTATACTGTTTTCCATAATGGCTGCACCCATTTACATTTTCACCAAAAGTGCATAAGGAGTCCAATTTCTCTACATTCTTGCCAACATGTATTTTCTGTTTTTATGATCATAGGCATCCTAATGGGTATGAGGTGGTATAAGTCTTTTTTAAATATGTGATTTTCAGATA